GTACTCTCCAAAGCGGCCTTCAAAACGCACGTCATCCCATCTTCCCCTTACCTATTCAGCTTGCAACCCTCCCTCCCTCGCCCCTCCGGAATCCTCCAGCTCCGTTTCCAGGCTGAAGTGAACACAAAATGCCCGTCCCGAAAGTGTTTTCCGATAGCGGGGATTACGGTTGGGGCCCGAAGACGGGCACGAAAAAGTTGTGGGGATGGACAAATTGAGACATTTTGAAGAATGGGAAAAGCCCCAGAAGACGGCGCACGATAAGCCCCGCCGGGCATTTATAAAACGGTGAGCGCGGGAGAATTTTCGCCGCAACCAAGCGAACCCCCCGAGGGGATTAAATTACAAATTTATGCAATTCCGCGCAAATAATTTATCGGTTTTGGAAAAGTTCCGATAACTTTCGGAAATTGGACTTTAAGTCGTATTTTAGAGGCCATAACAGAGCTTAAAAGTTTAAGTTGAGAGTGGATAGCATGACAAATCGCTATAGGAAAATAAACACAAGTTACTGGGAGCATCATTATTTTCATGGATGAAGGAAATGACGTGTTAAATGTTTGCCTCTAGTGCATGACCAAAAGCCATATATACATAAGGACGAACGAGTATGTACAATAGCATGCCGGGAAAGTGGAAATGGAAGGCCTGGGGGTGGAAAATCGGGAGTACGGTTAACAGGGGAAGTACTCCAAGTGCGACGCTCAGATTTTGATGAAACTTGGCACAAATTTAGAATAATTTTTTCTAAGATATATGCGAAAATCCTAGCTCGCGCTTTGCAGAAACAACCGAGATGAAAATTTAGGACTTTTTGCCGAATTTGAGCACGAAAAGTTTCATGCCTGTTTCAAAAAAATCAAATTTTTCCGCACGAAACTGCCAAAGTTATGGCCAAAAAGCGTTTTTCCCTCTGATCGCTCTCCACGTTTAGCGTGCTCTCTCGGCGGCAAAAATTGTTCGGTATCTCGGCGGCGCCCGCAAAGCGCGAGCTAAAACTTTCAGGAATATATTTAGTCCATACCCGACGTGTGTGCAAATTTTAAAGAAAATCTGAGCGTCGCACTTGGAGTACTTCCTCTGTAAGTAAAGCAAAAAAGTGAAAATGGAATTTTCCAAGTAAACTTTATGGCAGATCCACCAAACAGTTCACTTTTTTCTAACTGTTCCTATTAAATATATTTGCCGCAAAAAAATATAAATGTTTTTTGCAGCGGCAGCCAAATTTTCAACGATGTTTGCAAAGAGGGAGTTACGAAAATGACTTAAGAACGTAAGAAGAATCTTTTGGCAACAGACCTATTGTACCATTCAACCTTTTAAACGTTTCAAACAAGTATAAATACCCTTCGACAAAATTATAACCACCGTTAAAATTGAAATTATAACCTTTGTGGTTGCCAATAGAAATATTTCATATTCTCCACTAATACGCATCAGTACATATATCATAAATCCTACGTCAAAATAATACATTGAGAAGTTTCTGTCAGTTGGGAAAAAGTTGGAAACCCCGAATTTTGATAGCTTTCTCTGTGACCAAACTGTGAATATTATTAAGATAACCCTACTCTGGTTTATAGACCTAAATAAAACATCCAGTAACGTCGATCAAGCGGTCCTGAGCCAAGCCAGTATTGCTGCAATCAAGTGGTCAAGACTAAGGATACATTCCTCACTGATCACCAACCACAACAAACTTTGATTCACCGACCTAAACTTTGGTTGCTGGGCTCAAGGCCCTAACATGTGTTTCTATACTATACAAACATTTAATAACTTCCGTCCAAACTACTATGCACTTTAACAAAACATAACGCTCTAAATGAAATCAACTCCACCCTCGCACGCTTTTCGTATGCTTCCCAGAACGTATAGATAATCGATCCCGCATATCTATTCCACCCACACTATAATATAATCCATAAAGTCCGCCGTTGTCGATATCCAATAAGTCTTCGGCGAAAACAGCGGGACGCCCGTGGGGAGTTGGGCTGTCAATATTTTCCATAAAATTTTGCTATTTTTCTTGACAAAGCGCTCTTCGTACAAGGCAATCAGAAAATGTCGGGTTATGGCAATTCCTCTTGCAAAACTTGGGAAAATGGTGTATTTTTAGAAGAAAGCGGGGCGCGGGAGCGTTTTATATAAAAATATAAGGGAGTTGAAAACACACGATGCATCGAGAAAATGTGCTTTTGTAACTGTATAGATATTCACATGTATATATCAGTCTGTCGGGAAAACAATGAGCACAATGTAGCTGCGTTGATCGCGTCGCTAAAGTGAAAAGCAATTTGATTTTGTCGCGACACAATTCATTTTCTCGGAGACGATTTCGATGCGCCAGAGTGCTCATTATTTTCCCGACAGATTGATATACATACAGATGTAAAGGACGAGCTAGAGCTATGCCTCGGCGTTTATTATTATCAGCACAAGCTTTGATTGATGTTTTGTAAGCTCTTCTTATTGCTTACCATCTACAAATTTCACCAAATTCTTTAAATTTCAGTCTGTCGGGAAAATAACGGCGGGTCATCGCGTCTTGGAATCGCCCATCATCGCTTTGCGATACGGCGGCTAGCCGAATCTGAAACATTTTGCTGCGGCAATCCGCCGTTATTTTCCCGACAAACTGATAGACATGGGGACGAGTGCTAGAATCGCTAGACAAAGAAACACAACATCTCACCAACCTACAGTAGAAACAAGGCCAACGATTATCCGGTGAAAGCCACTTTTGTCCACCAATCACCTTACAATCTGATACATTAGCGGTTTTAACACCGTTTTCAGCTCTAATCCAAAGCGACTTTTCCATGAGACAAGTGCCTGGACTCAAACAAAGCAAAAATGATGCTCACATCCGCTAAAAAATCTGTTTTCTGATTATCTTCCCGGTTCCAGGCGTAATCCAGATTTGTGAAAGGTTTCTATTGAAAAAAACAGAATAAAGATGTAAAGTCCTGGAAAAAGACCACTAACATAAAAAATTTTATGTCTGGCGTTGAAATTATGCTCGAAGAGGAGTCATCATTCAAGGGACAAAAGGGCAGCTGGACAATTCGGACTGTCCTTCGAGTGTCGCGCGCCAACATAACTTAATTAACGAGTGGGATTAAGGACATTGTTCGGAATATTATAAACAATTAGTAGAAGAGGTTAAAAGGCCACAAAAACTCGAAGTATACATATATTTGAATCTCGTTTTTACAATTTGGAAGAAGAAATGTCATCGAAGTTTCTGTTCTCCCGCCCTCTAACAACAAAAAAGAAACAATGTTTAAACCGTTGAGGATGTATTTTACAATCTATTTGACTATTTTGAACTGTCTTGAATCTTTGTTTTTCACGACGGACAGATTCTGTTACATTTTGTCCTCCAACTCGTAAAATGCAAGATTCAAATGTAGCGGCTTTGGTCCTCTAAGTGCCTCGCAAACAGTGTTCTAAAATTTTGTGAATCCAGTAGAACAGTGTTTAACATTTCAAAAAAGAAGGAGTGTGACTAACAAAACATGACAAAAACTTTGAAAAATATCTCGTATTCATAGGCAAAATTATTACGGCGCGCTTTGCAGAAAGAACCCAGATTCTTAGCTCTAAAGTTTTTTTGAATTTGAAGACGACTGGTGCTGATTGATTTCTTCATTCTTACATGGGCACAATACATTTTTTTCTGTAACCGCTCTCCACATTTTCCGCACTCTCTCATGGTAAAGACCGTTGAATATCTGGCTGATTCTTTATATGGTAAGCTAGAATTTTTAGGGAATTGAAATGTGACACGGGTCTGAAATGTGTGCAAAATCTACATAAAATCTGAGCGTTGCATTTGTGAGAGGTTTCATATTAATAAAAAGACTTATAGCCTCTTCATAGGTGGTTTTATTCAAGAAAGAAAGAATTTATTCAAAGATAAGTGAGATTTTCTTTACGTTGAATCACAATTTCCGGTGTGTAATAGGTTTTAACGGGGGCTAAGTTTATTGTCAACCATTAGGCCGAGGGCTTGGCCTTTTGAGCAGCGTTATAGGAGAAGACGCAGAGGACCGCGTAACAAATCTGATCGGCCTGAAAGTTAAGATTACATTACTGTGAGTGCATTTCTTTTTCGTTTGTGCTTATCTTACTCGTGCATTGTTTTACAATTACCACACTTCCAAAATTCCCGTCCACTTCAGCATCTTGTGTTTCGTCATCCACAACTTACGACCACAACGTTCACAAGTACACAAAAAAATAATAAAACAATAACAAAAAGTATGCTGTACATAATTTAATTTATTACAAGTAATGCGCAATAATCTTAACGGTAATGCAAGGCATATGTGATAGGCAATTGTTCAGAATGTGTTCCTGTTTTTTTTCGGAAAGCGTTAAAAGTTCGGTAACATACAAATTTCATATGACACAACAACCGGGAATAACTTATGGTGCAAGAGAACACAATTTTATATCCGCATTTCAAAAATTAAAGCCGTTTTGGGGGTGCTGAGGAAGCGAAGTAAATGAGTATAAAACTACAATACATTTAAAAGAACATGGCAACTAATCTCTTCTATTTTTCGGTAATTGAATGTCAATTTTTGCAAATTAAATTTGCCCTTATATCTCAAGACACTATAATGAAAAAAATCTCAAACATGACGCTATTAATTCTAACGAAAACAAGACCTATTTAGCACAAGTTCAATGTGATATCACAAGTGTCAATTTCAATACAAATTTCGGCGACCGAAACGAAAAAAATGGCAAAAACAGAGTGCAAAAGATCAACTAGAGTGCCATGGACGCCGCCAAATGGAACCCTAAAAGAAGCGAGAGATAGGGAGGCCAGTATGGCCGTGGTAAGTTGATTATGCATTCTGATGAAGCTGGATTATATACTTCGAGTTGTGTGACAAGTCTGGAGGGCGTGAGAGGGTTCATTTGGATGGATAAAGAAGCTAGACCATCGAGTCCAACTTTGTCTGGCCAGAAGTTCTAATTTATATTTATCCGAATTCCGGTAGAACCTCGGTCCGAGGCGTCAAATCGTCCATTTCTATGACTTCATTATCGTCCTCTTGTTTCCTCGGCCAAACATTTAGCGCCGTATCCATTGAGATGGAGCTAGTCAGTCTGGGGATGTTCATCTCTTCCGTGTCCGTTTGAACTGGCTGACTTGGCGCTCTTGGTCGAGAAAAGAACGGAAAATCTGCAGCGTTTTCTTCACTATCAGACTCGGAAGTCAGTCTGGTGACAAACCGCAGTTCGTGGGGATAGTTGGTGTGTTCGAATGAAATTTGAGACAGTTTTCGATGACGTTTTCGCTTCTTCGCGGCAAATGAAGGAGATGCTGTTGGTGTTGCTGATCCCTCATTCGACTCAATCGAACTTTGAATGCAAATCGTTGGCCTCTCCATATTCAATCTTTCTCTCAAAACCTCTCCCGACGCTTTCGCTCTCTTTGGCGATATCATTGGGCTGTTGTCCACACTCTTATCTCCATCATAGCCTCTATCACTATGCGCGTCTATGCGGTCCATGGGACTGGCGCGACCGCTCAGCTCGTCGATGGCTTCTTCGTCCGCCAACGCCTTGGCCAGCGTCTCATTCAACGTGAGGCGAACACTGAACATGCGGTGCAAGGCCCAGGCGACATGACGGGCCTAAAAAAGGGCCAGAACTAATCGTAATCATGTCGTCTTTTTTATGAGATCAACCTGTTCACAGTGGGGCGTTTTTGGGAAGCAAGTACTGTTTTAGACGGTGCAAGGAGCCTTTTAGAAGCTTTCTTTTAAATACTAGTGTAATATCTGGAAAACTCGAATACCACGTTTTTCCTATCGACGAGCTCAGGATTGGTAGGAAGGGCAAAAAAGTAAAAAGAAGGACTGGAAGATGGTAAAAAATTCACCCCCAAAAACATAGTGAACAGATCAATATAAACCGAAAATACAAACGGAGGTAAAATAGTCGTATAGCCAGTAAGATAGTGGCGGAAAGAGTAACAGAAATGGATAGAATGATCAAAAAGAAAGTGAGCCGAGGGTCGGAAAGGGAGCTGGGAAACACTACAAGCAATGTTTGTGAGGGAGACCCTAGATTAGAATCAGTAAATTCTTGCCGTAAAATGGGCTTTACGTACGTCTGATATAAGACACAAATTTCGCGTTTTTGGCCTCAAATTTGACCAGCGTGGAACGGAGTTACAACAGAATTACAAAGTCTTACGGGACAACACGACATGATTACAACGGATAAAAGCTGTGATAGTTTTTGCAACGCATCGAAAAACTTAGACCTACCATAGTGGAGATATAGCGGCGTTGGATCAGCTCGTTCTTTTGCTTGTCTGAACGGTTTTTTATTTGATTATGGAGATGAAACTTACTGAATTCCTCAAGAACAAACATGTTCCCACCGAAAGTGTTGCATTTCTTGATGTTGGCCAGACTTATAAAGTCCTGAAAGGAGAAATATTATTGGTAAAGCCTTATAGAATGCCATATATCGAAGGATATTGAATCCGACTTACTTGTCTATCTGCAAAAAGAAGTCTTACACCATCTATCCTGACTTGAAGCAGTCCTCCTTCGCTTGTTTCGATGTCATGAACTGGGAATTCGCCGCCCAAATCTCTGCCGGCAATAGTCACCTAAAATTTTAAAATACGTTCTCCATATGTTTGCTTTCTTATGATGACTATCGTAACTCTCGCATCTCTACCCACCTTTCCTCGCTGTGCCGCTCTTTCCATCGCAGTCTTCATACAAGTATAAAGTTGCCGACATTTTTTTGTGTGGAATTTATGCATATGCACTTGATCGTCTTGTCGCCGCCATATGCACAATACTTTCGTTCGAGGGGAATATGTCATATTAACAAGCCGTTCATACCACCATCGCTCGGAGATTTGGCCGGTGCAGGCGCGGATTATCACCGCGTCTTCGCAGACCTCCATGAAAGAGACCGGCGCTTCGGCCGTATCGCCCAGATGCACCGCGAAACTTTGCTTCTGAACCAATCTAGATCCTAATGGCTTGAGTTGAATCAAATTGCAAGGCTGTGGCGGCAGCTCATCCAACAGTTGATTGATCTTTTTCGAATAAATCAGTCCAATGTGCGCCTTCCCCAGCATTCTTCTCACTTTTTGCTGCAGAACCCTCGATGGACTGCCACACATGACCATGTAAGCCGTCATGTTGTGCAATAGGACTGCAATAATTCGGTCTTCGTCCAGTTCTAGTCGCTTTCTTTCGGACTCGTTGAGAGAGGAGTACCGGTCGATCATTTCGCTGGGCTCTTGATCCATTCCGATGATATCGCGTTCTTTCGCGACCATGTCAAAGAAGGCGTTCTCCCAGAACACCATGTTCGCCCAGAGGGGATTTGAAGCCGCTAAAAAGGAAAATGGCGTTAAAAGAATAACTATGGAATTTGTGTAGATACGACAAATATACGGTTCACTATAATTGCGATGACTTACAAATGAGGTCTTGATACAAGAAGTGGCGGGTTGGCTCGAGAGTTGAACTGCTTGAACTTGATGGTGAAGATGGTTTAGCGACAAAGAGCGATTTTGGCTTTTCAATTTCGGTCTTGACGTGGCCATTGGCTTGAGGCTTCTGCGATGCCGGCTGAAAATTAATTGTTGATAGTAAATTAAGTAGTTAACTTTTTTTTAAAACAATGTATACAGCTTTTTGTAATCCACGGCGTATTTTACAATTAAAAAAATCTGCTCGAAGGTTGCAAGGCGCATCAGTATCCTATAGAAATTTAGTCTCCCTACCTTAGGAATGTCCCCATTTGCTGACGGAGCCACTACCGGACTCTCCTGAGTAATAGTTGGAGTCTCCGAAGCCACAGGAACTTGTCCGCCCACATGGCCATTCGGAACGACCTCTGTCTTCTTTTCTTCCGAGACCTCACTTTTCTTCTCTGGTAATGTCGGCAGAGCCGGCGGTGGAACTGGCGGAGGTTCGGTTGAAGTCGACCTTCTCGGACTTGCCGACGCTGTTCTCGCCGAATCCGGTCTTTCTGGTAGCGGCGGAGGCCTTCTAGGCAAAGGTGGAGGAGCTCCACTCGGTGGTCGTTGAGGAATCGGCGGAGGAGGTCGCGGCGAACTTGGCGCCGCATCTGAAGGTCTGCGAGGAGGGATCGATGGAGGTTCGGATGGCCTTCTTGGAGACTTCGGAGGCTCCGAAGTCTCGCTTCTCGCCGAGTCAGACACAGCGGAAGTTGACTGAGTCATCACTGATGAATTTTCGTTTGAGCCATTAGTTTGAACTCCATTATCCAAGTCGATAAGATTGTCGTATCTCGGAGCGGTTTCGTTGAAATCAAACAGATCTTTTTCCGGCTGAACGGGCTTGTTTGATGGAGCAGAAACGCCAGGTTGAAGTGGTACTGGGCCAGTTGTTGTAACTGGAACTGGATCAGTATTTCTTGAGAGAAAACTTGTCAAAGAAGATTTATGGCTTGGTCCTGCTGGAGAGAAGACCGTGTGTATCGATGAAGTTGGGGTTCCCATCTGAAAAGGATATTGGTATACACAATGATGTCAAAAAAAGCAATGATCCTGCTTGAAACGGCTAATTTTGACATACCAAGCTAGAAATCCCGCTTCCCGGTGTATGTGTTTCATTTTCGGCCCAAAAATGCGTATGCGCAATCTCCAGCACATGAAAAAGCGACGCCAATCCATCGGAATGAGGGCTATTATACGAATGGTCGAGCCCATGAAGACAAGCTTGCAGGATTTTCAAATATCCCTTGTATTGTGCCCGCGTCAGCTGTACCCGTTGAAGAAAGTCGTCTTCAGTGTAACGCTGCGACACTCCCAAGTTGAGTTTTTGACAGACCAATTCTCGAAGAGATTCGTCTTCCAAAAGGCGTTTGAGTTTGGCGCCTTGAAAGACTCCAACTCCTTGACCGTTGAGGACTTGATCACAAATGTCTCGGACGGTTTGTTGGTTCTTCCTGAAACGAAATTTTTGAGTGAAAACTATGACGATGACTCAAAAATTATTAAAATTTATAACATTCAGAAGCCCTTAAAATTGCTTACATTTGCAATTGCGCTGCTTGAGTCGGATCCTTATCCTTGTTCTCCTGCTGAACATGTTGTCTTTTGTTCTGAATCAAATGTTGTCCATGCTCGATTCTATTGGCTGCCGCTTCGGCCAACGGTCGCATTGTTTTCTCTCTCAAGGCCTGAGCTTTCGGCGCTGTTTTCGAGAAAAACGATCCCAGCATTCCGTGACTCTTCTCGGCGTATCCATTCAACGTGTTCATGAGATTGGGCCCGAACATTTTTTCGCCGGAATCGGTGAAAGCTTGCTGGAAATTATGAAATTTGTGCATTAGGTGGTGAGAGATGTGCCTACCTTCATTTTGAACTGTGGGGTTTTCGTTGTTGGAGTGCTAGAAGTGCTGGAAAGGACGGATGGGCCTAAGGGGACTTTTCGGTTCTGAACCGGAGTGCTTTCTTTGCTGTCCATCACGTGATCAAAGTCAAAATCACCCTGAAAGTTGTCAAATAAACGAACGCTTAAACACCGATTAATACAGGGCTTCTAAGCTACAATTTTTGGCCATAAACCCTTCTCAATAGAAGGTTATAGCAAACAATGTCTTATAAAAGATTCATGACAAGACTGTCTCAGAATGTCTTACCAAATCTGATTTCAATTTGCCAAATCTAAAATTTTTGGACCACAAATTTGAGGGACTGTTAGAAATTCGGTGCATAATTTTATTCTCAAAATTCTCACTTTTTCATTCGACTTGATCGCCAAATTCTCCGCTAATCTCGCAAAATCAGCTTCACTATCGTTCCCTGCCTCCGAATTCGTTGAAGCCGGACTCGATCTGCCACTGCTAATCGAGGAATCCATCGATAATCTACTCATACTCGTAGGTAACTGCAGTTTGTTCGGGGCTTGATAGACGTCGTTGACCTCGCTGACGGGCTTTGTCGCTTCTGAAAATTGACAAAGTCAGAAATTATTTTACTGTTATAGAGTCAGAAATCGGAGTTTTCTAAGGGCATAACTGAATAACAACAGGATTATGAGCATATTTACCGAAATCGGGGGCATGCTCGGAAAAGGGCGACATTGTCAACATTGATTCGTCCATTCCGCAGCTCTCTAGATCGCTGACATCATCCTCTTCGTCGGAGCCATGAGCATTGCGGGCCAAATGCCAAGCATTCAGAGCTTCGACAAGAGTGCAGTTGTTGGGATAGGCCTGAAAAATTAACCCGTTGTCTCACAAAATCCAAATCAATACAATTGCAAATTCTTACGCCAAAAACAAAATAAAACGCTCACATTAAAATGCACGGGCATCAGCTGCTCGCTGAACCATTTCAATTTGTCACCGATCTGCTTCGCACTTGTATTTCCATTCTGCACCCGCACAAACACCTCATTCCGCGGGCACAAACACTCCTCCGCGAAATACTCGACACTCTGCGTTCGGCAGAGGTCTTGGATAAACTGCGACAAATACGGGCGACTTCGCAGGAAGGACTCCGTTTGCAGCGCCACAACTGGTCGAGGATATAGCCTTAGGGTTCGAGTGTGCTCGCTAAAATTGGCAAAGACATTGGGGCTGTCGAAGAAGTTGATCATGGCGATTCGACAGGCCACATCGATCTCATCCGGGTCCATTTGATAAGACGCTTCGAAACTGCCGTTGGTGTGCGACTCATTCAGCTCTGCAGTTGAGACGGTTTTGCCCAAGGCAGCGAGGAAATCCTGTTTTAGATTGGACCGCTCTGGCTCGGGAAGTTCGGAGATTTCAAGCCCTGGAGGGATCGTAACTTCGTTCGTATCAAGGTCGACAAGCATGACGTCATCCGGAAGTTTAATGCCCTTGCAGAGGAAGAACGAGGCCGGAAGTCCGATGATAAATGGGGTTGGAGCAAGAAGAAGCTGAAAGTGCAAGGTGTAAGGTGCAAAACTGCAAAAAAATTATTGAAAAAACATCTAAATCTTTATGTACAATACATACCTGTTCAGCATTTTGCAAAAACGTCGGCAGCAGCGGAATAACAGGGAACATGTACTCTAAAGGATAGAGCAGCGCCACCAGCGACATTACACACATACTGACTGCGTTGTAATTTCGGGATTGGAGGATCACCTAAGATCAATTTTTTCGTTCAAGATTGGACATTAATTTAGATACCTTATGCTCCAGCATTACGGCTGTTAGCAGCGTTATGACCGTGTCTACATTAAGTAGTTCCAGCGGCAAATGCAACGGAAAGTCCATCATGCTGAAGCGAGTGTGGTCGGGCAGTGCGAACTCTTGCATTTTCATCACTTCCTCGGGGAGGATCTAAAGTTTGAAACTGAGAAATAAAAATTTGGACGCCTACTTCTAGGACCAGTTTGGTTTTTCCAGGCACCGGCACAGGTGAGCTGAGGAGAAGGAGGATCCACGTCTCGATCTGCTTCACCTCCTGCATCACATTTTGAGGTATGGGGCCGGTCCAATGGCCTGTCAGAACCATCCATAGGGAATCTCTGGAAAGCATAAGATATTGTGAAAAAATCAAGAGCCCTGAGGCTGTTTGATGAAAATTACCTTGGCAAGGAGTCGTCGAAGTTACATCGCATGTTACACGCATCTATGAGTTGAGCTAGAAGCCGGAGGATCTCGGCAAACGTTGACAAAAATGGATGATGACTAATGAGACAGAGGGATGTTAGCGAGGCTGTTGGCTTCCTGCAAACCGTCAAAATTAAGGAAATTTGCATAATTTTCAAAAATTTGAATAATCAAATTTTTGAAAATTAATTTTAATGTTATAAATTGAAAATGATTTTTTTTTCAAAATTTAAAAAATCAAAAAAAAAATTAATCAAAAATTATGATTTTGAAAGATTTTCAAAATGAGCTCACCTCTTAGTAGGGTTACCCGAGGTTGTTGTGTGAGTTGGTTTTGCATCAAAATGGACAAAAAAGTTGAGAGTAATCCCGTAGCGAATCTTGGAGGTGTCCTTTTCCGTCAACATGTAGATAAATGAGGTGGTTTCATGGCCTTTCCGACTGTGCTTGTAATTGTCAGCTAAAATCAAACAACCCATTATTTTTAAAGGTCTAAATAACCTCAAAATTTCACAAAAAATTTTGCTCACCAACAGTAATGCAGCCTTCAGGCTGACAAAAATAAGTCACATCTGTCGGGAGAGTGAAATCTTTATGATTGTCCGTCGGATATCGCCTCAAAATTTCCGGATTCGCCACTCCGACGAAGCCGGTCCGCCGCCGCAGCGGCGGCACGTCGCTGGGATGGACATGAGCGCCGATCGGCGGCGCTTTCTGGAGCTTGGAGTCGGGCTTTCGGCCCACTATCACCAGGAAATCGATTAGACGAGGGCAGAGCTCTTTGGATTTGTCGTCCATCAAGCCATCGTTCGCAGGAAGGCCAGGGGTACAAGGGATTTGAGTTTGACAACTGGAAAGAGGGTAAAGTTTATGTTGATGACGATAGCAAAGAAAAAAAAAATTTTTAATTAAGGTTTGGGTCTCGACACGAAAATATTCGAATTTCAAAAGATTCGAGGTTTAAAGTTCAGAGAGATAAGTTCTATGAATTCTTGAACAAAGTGGGAATAAAAATTTTTTGACAGTTTTCGAACATATACAAGATTTTTAGCTCGCGCTTTGCAGAAAAAGTTAAGGTTTGTACTTCGAAAATTTTCTTTAGCGCCACTACCATTTTTCTCGTTTAATTGTTAGCTAAAATTTTTAGAAATCAAAATTCCAGTCGTTCTCAAAGTCCCTGGAGTGATTTTTGCGACATGCAGTGTGCGAAAACAAGTGTTAACTTTGCACTGTGCAATTTCTTGCCTTTTGCACCGTGCAATAGGCTTTCGGGTGTCGCTTGAACCTTGACTTTTTTTGCCCCGTGCATGTCATCGATCTCACTCCAATGACTTTGACGACATACAAATAAAAAAAATCCCAATTTTCTGCTACAAAACTTGAAAAAAATTCTGAGGATTGCCATTTTTTGTACTCAAATTCTCGCCTCGCTCAGCCTCAATAACCTCTTCAGACTTGTTTATGGCCTCTCCGAAACCTTTGACGACGCAGTGTCTCCAAAAAAATGGAGTTGTTTTCAACCCAAGCACAATGCGGTTCGTCTCGAACGCTCCAAACCCAAATCCATAAATTTCCGCTTTCCCTTCGATTCATTGTGTCCTTGACGTCAGGCCCTAAAGGCAAGACGCGGGGCGAGCACGAGGAAGACGAACATGTTTGTTATTCCCTGTCAGATCTTCTGTTCGTCTTGAAGAATTAAGGCGAAATTTAAATGAAAATTCGTATTGAGATAGCAGCGAAAAAACATTTATAGATGAATGGCCTTAGGGGAAATTGGCAGAGGATAAAACGTAGAAAAGGTTTTGGGGGGTAAATGAGTATTTTATTACCATAAAAGGTGTTTGGAAATAAAGTGGGTTGTTATTGTGTCTGATAAGGTCGTAAAGAATACAATTCAGAAAGGATTGTAGCCTGTGACGTCAAACAGAGGATGGTACGTAAATAACTTGTAAAAAATTAAAAAGGGTTTCCAATCTGTCAACAAAACACACTAAAACAAAAGTGGTCTGCAACGGACTATTTTAGGTAAAAAGATTAATTTTAGGCCAAAATTAACCTCCGTACAACAAACACCTTTCCATAAAAGATAAATTTTCTGGTTGCTTGTGATTTGCTGTCCAGAGGTTCCACTGTAAGCCCTACTGGTTTTTCTAAGGGCTTGGAGGGAAGTGCTCAACGTGAAGCTTGACCTGAATCATTGACGAAAAATTCACATAAAAATGGCAAAATTTTTGGCGCATGCTTTGCAAGGGCAACAAGGTATTATATATACCCGTAGTCTACGCAAAAAAGGCCATGGAAACACGGACGGAAGAAAACATCTTTCGGTCATATCTCACATGGGAAGTACTCCAAGTACGACGCCCAAAAAAACGATGTGTGAGCCCCTCAGACTTTGATGAATTTTGCACAAATTTAGATTACGCTTTCATAACAAGGGATCGGCAAATAGTTGCAACCTTTAATCTTAACGAAACATATATCATTTGAAAGAGCGTTAAAAATAGTGCACAACGCAAAAAAAATTAGCTGCCTAATTTATGTTTGGACAAAGTTATGGCCAAAATACAGATTTTAGCCTAATTTAACGCGTCACTTTATAAGCGCTTGGAATTGCAACAGAGTTGTGTCCAGTTGGCCGAGTGGTAGTGAGCCCACTTCCGGCGTAACAAGTCCTGGTTTCGAATCCGGGCTCTATAAATTTTTTGCATTTCATACCTTATATGCCACAAAACCATGGTATGGTGATATTTTTAAACAATTTGTGTTCCTTCGCAGGCAAAATTCATTTTTACAGGATTTTTTTGAATTTTTGGCTTTTTTTGAAACGACCAAAGATTTGATGGTGATGAGAGTGGGGATACCACTATCATATAATTACAAGGTGTCATCCCAGTAACCTGACCTATTATAATTACTGGACGATACTTAAATTTACTAGGACCTGAAAATATACATTTTTTCGAAAAAATACGAAGAGAAAATTGTAAAATCGGGCAAAAGGATATTGCTAACACAGTGGACCAACCGTTGGTAGGGCTAGAACATAAGAAATTTTTGATTTTGTGATTTTAGTTTGTGAACGACCACAACGATCATATAAATGTATTTCCAAAGCCTTTTGCTCCAATTTTCTCATTAACCTAGTTTTATTTACAATTTTTTGAACAAACAGTAATGTCTAATAACTCATAACCGAGGACTGGTAGAGCCATAAAACGACCGTGGTAGACGTTTTTGGACACTAGGAAATCAAAGGAGACGATTTCAAGCCGCCAGGATTACTGTAATATAAGAAATCGGCGTTTTAGCCGCATATAACCACTTTCATAAAACGGTCATAACTTTGCCCAAACATAAATTAGGCAGCTAATTTTTTTTGCGTTGTGCACTATTTTTAATGCTCTTTCAAATGATATATGTTTCGTTAAGATTAAAGGTTGCAACTATTTGCCGATCCCTTGTAAGGATCATAAGAAATTCCTAGATCTTGCTTTGAAAAACCATCCAATACTTTTGCAGGAAAGAATTTGAAACTTTTTTGCAAATTTTGCTATCTATATACAATCCGACCGAAAAATCTCAGAAATTCTTTAGAAAACTGTAATCTTTGTCTGTACCAATTTACAGCCCACGAAAGCGTAAACAATGTTATTCCCGTGTGGCCGGTAAAGTCCAAAGACTGTCATCCCTCCAAAAAGTGCGAAGTTATTCTCAATTTTCAGTTATTGACAGCCAGACAGTCAAAAAACTTCCGTTGACGTAAATATCTGCCATGTAAAGACAGTTAGCTGTTGCTGACAGATGGAATTAATTCCGATTTCACTTTTAAAGCAGGGGAATGTTTTTTTTTAGTTTTCTATTTCAGAACCATGTCTCAAAAACCTTTTTTTAATTTCGATTAAAATGAACGTTATCAGCGGAGAAAATGAAAAACGATGATTGTTTAGACAGGTGTGGTAATTAAAAAAACGATTCGCTGGGAACAAATAAGCAGAGAATATTAGATAAAAGTGGTCACAACTGAATTGATTAAACATGTTATTGTTAATGGTAAAATACAAGATTTTTTATTGTCAGGAATGGGCCAGATTTTGACGAAAGTATAAACCGAGATTTTAAACTTGGGTCTGATAAACTACTAGTGCGGCGTGCAACATTCCGCAAAAAAATTGAAATTTTCTGTGCAGGGACAAAGATTTCGAGTGTCCTTTCAAAAAATGACCACTGAATATCAGGATGACTTTTGGAAAGTGTACGGTAAAACTTTTGAGGATTGGAAAGGCATGTTTAGGAATTCCTTGCAAAAATTGAAACAGTTGCAAATATACCCCAACTGAAAAACTCCTCTTGTACGTCATGTGCAAGATCTTTGCTTTTTGTAAAAAAAATTCAGCTCAAAAATTCAATATGAATTCTCAAACCAAAACGCTTTTTTATCGACCTAATGTCTCCATTTCTTATTGTCCGTACCCAAAATAATGTTTGAATAACCCGGTGATCCCTCAAATGGCCTTTCAAAAATTATCAAAAAATGATTTCTTCCCCATTATACAATACAAAAATTTTTACAAGAATTTTCGTCAATCTTCTGCAAACTTCGATCCAAGTTTAAGATCAAAAATAAAAAAAAAATTGCTCTTAATTTCCCCACAACTGCCAGTGAAACATCTCCCCAAACCCCATAATGTGCATTGTATATAACTGGACCTGTTTCGAAATCTCAACAAATTTACTATGCAAATAGCTGATTAAACAACTCCAAAATTCAACCTTTGTTCCTAGCGCATAATAAATTGTTTATCAAAACGGGGAAAACTTTTGGGGCTGAGAAGTAGTGATGACGTTGTTGCAAATGTAATTAAGCTAGCCTTCCCGCTAATCCCGGCGTTTCCATCTACCGAAATGGAGGAAGAAGAACAAGTATCGGAGACCCATTTCCGCGGGAAAAAAGGGCTAAGCATATTATGGAAAAACAATAAAGAAAAAATTCCGCCCGAGGAAATGTAAAACCGAAACATAAAAAAAAAACCAATTTGTGGCGGAAAGCACAATGCGAATTTGCCGATGAATGGGGGGACGCCGGAATTAGGACAAATGGAGAATTCACGAGAACGAATTCTCCTTGAAATGTGGCAGTGGGAAAGGCGATATGTTTTTGTGTCAGCTGTGGGGGATTGGGGTCGCAAAGTGCTATGCAAATCGGGAATACAGAATTGCTGATATATGTACATTGATAATTCTGAGAGCAAAAATTTAAGACTCGTTTAAAAATTTCAAAATAATTTTTTTTTAATTTCGAATTTTTTTGCGGTATTGGACCAGATAATCTTCTCTGTCGCAGGTCCACAGTACTATTTTTATGTATTTCTTAATTTCAAACAAAAACCTGCTTAAAAATGAAGAAAATATTGACAAAAAAAACCTTTTTTGATTAGCACGCTCTCATTATTTTACATGGTCTCTCCAAAAAAAATTGCTGAATAACTGTTGCGGAAGTTGGGTTCGAGCTAAAATCTTTATGAAAAAAATGTGACGTTAGCTCGCTAAATTTGAGAAACCTTGCAGTGTCGCATTTCAAGCACATCAAACATCAAAATTCCACTTCCAATTTACACTTGAACTCAATAAAAATACGGTGAAACCCCTGCAAAATACGCACCCATACGCTGAACTCTATTTATCACAAATAATTTCAGAGGCCTCAAATGGTAATTTTATGCTAAAATGAACCCCCGTATAACGAGTTCTTTCTACAGCAAATCAATTTTTTTAGTTCCTTCCTATCCTTTATAACAAAACTTCATTTGCCTTAAAGTCACGCTATACCGCTTTTGAACCATAAATCCCCCTATGGCCTAAGACGAACCCACTATTTTCTCACCGAACTTCCCATAAACAAGACTCCGCCAAGCCAGCATCCAAGCTCAAGAAGCAAAAATATGAGTACCACGCAAAAACACCGCAAAAAATGCCCGTAATTAACCGCCACTTCCCGCCGACACCACCAATTTCTCCGGCCATTAAATTCGAAAACCTCAGGCCGTTTCTTGAACGGAAGAGGAGAATATGCAAAAAAAAGCGCGTTAGAGAGTGCGAAAAACCGATATCGACGAGTTTCGGTGGGGGCGCACGCTCTTTTCCCCTCCTCGCTGCATGCCTGCGGGCTTGCTGGGCCACATCTCTTATCTGCCCCATGAGACGGCTTTTTTTCGTGTTTCCTTTTTTGGGATGCTCCGTTTCTCTCGCCGTCTCTTCGGGAGATTTCGCTGGTCGGGGATTCCCTCGTTTCCGAGTACTTTTTGCTTTCGTATGGACATGTCAAAGACTTTCCGTTGGAGTTCTGTCTAGTTGTTAGCACTTTTTTCGTCCCGAACGGCCCCCCTTTCGGATGTGTTTTCATCAAAATTTCGGCAATATGTCAGCAGCTCAACAAGCGTTAGAATTTGGAGTCTCTTCAGAAAGAGAGAAACGAGTATTACTTGGAATTCATTTTGTGGTCAACGAAACTCGGGGCAAATTTGGTTCGAAAGCATTATGTAGGACGATGTATTACGAGTTTTTTTTGGGCAAGTTATGACTAAAATATTATAGAATGCAATCCAAAATTTCACTTGAATTTCCTCTAAATTACGACATGATACAGAACAAGGCATGTGAGTCATCATAAAAAATTCAGAGAAATCATTGGCCATTTTGATACAAGAAAAAGCACAAAGCAAATCTAACACACGAAGAATCGTCAGAAAGGCTAATTAACAGATCGCGTCTATGGTCATGAAGATGACTCAAGTTTCGGACTACAATGCAAAGAATAGCAGAGCGCTGAACAACTGTACAAAACAGTATATAAAGCTGATTGATTCTATCGGATGACCTGAGACGAGATGATCTTTGTGGTCTTGTTGCTAATTCCTTTGTCTGTGAGCTGCTTCAGCCATGGTAAATGTTTTCCATATAGCTGCGCACGACCCTGTACAACTAAATCTGTCCACAACAAAGTTTTACATGTCTTACAAATCATTTTTACTTCGAATGAACCTCAGAACAAGGAAGTCCTTCTGTGGCATACGAGATTTTCGGTCTCCTGCTATACAGCTGTATTTTCTGTACAGAATATATTTTGAATTTATTACAGCTCTAAGACAGCCCGATCATCTAAAATACACAAATGACAGTCTGCCCGATGACGTCAAGGTCTACCAATACGACCTCAAATTCACTCCGTATTTCAGCTACTACAACTACAGTATCCCGGACGGTAAGAGCTTCCTTTTTCCCACAATTAATTTCAACATTACTGTACAGGGAAACAAGGAACATTCGATGGAGAAGTGGCCATTCATTTCTCAGTCCTCGAAGTCTCATTTTCGATTGAGCTGAATGCTGGGGTAAATATTTTGTCAGTACATCTGCTATCAACTGAAAACCAACTTCATGTCACTGATATCCGCAGAACCTTAGACGATCATATACTGATTTTTTCGGAAGAGGCACTTCAACCGAATGTTAATTACACCCTAAAATTTGTCTTCAACGGGCTGTTGCATAAGGCGGAAAATGCAGGCATATTTACCCACGAATACGTTGATAAATATGGGCATAATACGTAAGAGATCTGTTTGATTACATTGCTCTTCTTATTTATGAAGTATTTTTTGTGAAATCAACAGTACATATATTCATTTCAGATCACTTTTGGCAACCCAGTTTGAAACGATTGCCGCCAGAGACGCATTCCCATGCTTCGACGATCCATTTTTCAAATCAAAATTCGTTGTATCGCTGGTACATCCCGTCAACTCCACAGCTTACAGTAACAGCAAACCTGTGAGCACAACGGTCTTAAAGTAAGTCCACAATAACATTGAATATCGAATACATCAGTGACAATCAAGCATTGACAAACTTTGAGCCTACTGTAGACCTTCCGACATACCTTTTCGCCTTTGCCATTGGAGATTTTGCCGAAGCTGTCACGAAATCCAAGAGAGGAGTTACGGTAGGTAGAACAATCAAGAATAACAGATTTTTTAAGATTCGGGCCATATCTACCATCGACAGCGATGGGTGTTTAAAGCGCTCTGCCGACTGGGCTGCGCAGTGTTTGGATATAATGGAGGAATTCGTCGATGTACCTTATCCTTTGGAAAAACTTGGTGAGTCTGCCAGGTATACCGTCTTTTGTTAATCATCCAAGATTACTGTATTTTTATTGGACCACCTTTTCAGACCATCTGGAAACAATTGATCATTTTTCTGGTGGAATGGAAAACTTTGGGCTTATAACGTACAAAGATTATTTGACAACATACATCGACCAAACGCTGGACATTGAAGCCTACGGTGTTAGCGTGATTTGTCATGAGACTGCACACCTATGGTATAAAAAAGTTTTCATGCTTAGAACATGTTGTTTCAGGTTCGGTGATCTCGTGACAGGAAAACGATGGGGCCTTGAATTTCTCCACGAGTCCTTCGCAACGTACTTTGAATATGAAGCGACCAAGAAAGTCGACTCTTTCTTCTATAACGCCGTGAGATGCTGAAAAGGCTTAAAAAAGTTTTTTAGGAACTTTCTCAAGCCAAATTTGCAATGGAATTACCATACCATGTGAGGGAAAAGAATCATCCAATCGCTGACGAAATTAGTCGTTTTGACAGTAAGTAAAGCAAGATTATGCTTATTTACGCCTGCGCTTAGAGATTACATACGACGTTGGCGCGCATTTGCTCTACAATATTGCCACTCTTACTGGAGAAAACTTCACGAAAGCGTTGAAAATTTATCAGGAGCGTTTTGCCTACCAAACTGTCGATCTGGACGACCTTCTTCAAGTCTTTGACGAGGTATATTTTACTACGATAAGCATGGCATTGTAATATAATTGAAGTTTAATAGGTTAATCTACAACTTTATAGCTGTACGGCAGTATCTTCATGGGCAACCTCAAATTTTCCGATGTAATGAAAGAGTTCTTCACCGTTACCGGCGTCCCGACGATCAACATCACGCTGACTGAGACCGGCGATTATTCGGTTCAACAGGTTCCGAACGAGAATGGAAAGTCCTGGAATGTACCGTTGATATATTATGATATTGCCACCAACGAAACACATTTCCACCTTGTTCCAGCAAGTTCAAAGGCACCGTCGACCTTCTCTGGAGATCGTCAGTATCTTTTTAACCCAACGCTTAGTATGTTCGCCGAGGTTAACATTGAAAGTTCCGTATGGGATAAGACCTTGGCCAACAACTCGTTTGGGGTGCTGTCAGGACTTCAGCAATTGTCTGTCTTGCTGCAAATCGCAAGAGCGGACGCTGCAAGAGCCGAGAAAGTGTTAACGGAGCATGCCAAGTCGACCAATTCTATCGTTTATCCAACACTACCCTTTGCTCTAGAAAGATATTTGGTAATCATTTACAAATAGAACAAGATTCAAGCTTTTTTAGTAATTTGCTTTGCTTTTCAGAGACAACAGCGCGCTGATACAACTCTACTGGAAGCCTTGTTGGAAAAATTCGACTTTACGGCAACTGTCGAGAACAGGTAAATACATCAATCTTCACTATGTAATGCAACTTACAAGCATGGCGAAGTTGTTAGAACCAACCAAAAACTATTTTTTCAGAGTTTTCGGTAAATTTGTCTTGGCACCGGCCGTTCGTCACAAGATTCCACACATTGTAAATACGACCCAACAACTGTTCGATAATTTCGTCAAGGATTGCGCTCCAGGAGAAGACGTGAGTAAGTGCACACAGTAAGTTTTAAAGGCCTATATCTAATTCACTTCAGGATTCCACCGGAATTCCGTCCAGCGGTGTACTTGCAAGGGAGCACAACCGAGGATGGAGCCAACTTTCTGCAAGACTACAAGAAACGAATCATGTCTCATAAGCTTGTGAAATTCTTGAGGCCGGAATGGAAACGGCTAGATGGAGTGCTACGAGTAGAAAAACCATGTCAATCTCATTTCTCGGGATAAACGAACTAAGTTTTGACGATCTTACAACGGAACGTATCAGATTTTAAAAATAATGACGATTGTTATGTATAATATCTTCGATCGTATGAATGAACCCATGAAAATAAAGTATACGTTGACTAATGAAAAAGAATAGTAACGTGATATTCTTGTTTGAAGCAAGATGAATGTACAGGCCACATAAACGATGACACAGATCTCATGAACAAGTCAAAACAAAACAAAGAGAAAATTACAAAACAATCAAAGAATCTGTGTTCACACTCAAAAAGGACGCTAATTAACAGTGATTTCATTTATACATCTGAGTGATGAAAATGCAAACGTTCATCATCAACATGCAGATTGTTCAAAACCAATTCATTCAGCAAAAGCGATGGCCAAGAGGACGCTGCTGATTTCATTTCTTCTTACTGTAATTGGAATATGCTATTCTCAAGGTAGGTTTTCGATTTTGGACTTTTGAATTCTATTACGCTTAAGGATTTGATCGAAGACGTAATGTGATACAAACCAACGACAGTCTCCCTCATAACGTCGAGGTTTATCAATACGACCTCAAATTGACGCCGTATTTCAACTACTACAACTACAGTATCCCAGAGGGTAGGAAAATAAGTTTGTTTTTAAAAAACACCTTGCTACTTTCCAGGAAAACAAGGCAAATTTGAAGGCGAAGTCTCTATTCATTTTTCCGTTATAAATTCGACTAGAGCGATTGAGATAAACAGCAAAGTGGACAGCGACTTCTTGGATATAAGTATATTCTCAACAGATAGACTTGCAATTTACAGCAGATCCAAAAATTATGAAGGGGATCATGAAATAATTCGCTCGTTCTACATGCTCGAACCCGGAATAAATTATACATTAAATATTTTGTTCAGCGGTCTGATACATAAACCTGATTATGGAGGCATCTACTCGTACGAATACGTCGATAAACATGGAAGAAATACGTAAGTTTCAAGGGACCAAAATCCTAGTCTGATATCAGTTTCACCCACTTTTTATACACTCTTGATATTTCAGCGCCCTTTTGTCAACGCAATTCCAAAGTATTCAAGCCAGAGAAGCGTTTCCATGCTTTGATGATCCCTTCTTCAAATCGAAATTTGTCTTGTCGCTTGTGCATCCAATAAACTCGACAGCGTACAGTAATGCCAAAGTAAAAAGCGTGTCGCGCTTGAAGTAAGGACACTTTACAAAAAAAATAAAGAACATTTTTGAAAACGAAATGCATCTTTTTTAGCGATAACCAAGCTCTGACAGTTTTTGAGCCTTCGGCGAAGATGCCAACCTATCTGTTCGCCTTTGCCATTGGAGATCTTGCAGAGACTGTAGTAAATTCAACGCGAGGAGTCACGGTAAGTACAAATCCTGCCTAACTGACTTGTTCAAGGTGCGGTCCATATCCATCGCCGACAATGACGGACGACTAGATAACGCTGCGAAATGGGCGGCTAAATCGTTGGATTACATGGAAGACTATTTGGGGATACCATATCCTCTTGACAAGCTTGGTAAACGTTTTTTCTGGGTAAACGAAAATGAGTTATTTCTAGATCATATAGAGACAATTGAGCACGCTGTTGGCGCAATGGAGAACTTTGGACTAGCAACGTACAGAGATCAGTTGACAACCTTAATCGACAATGAACTAATTCAGGAGGCAGAAAATAATGCAGTGATATGTCATGAAACTGCCCACCAATGGTATCTTCCAATTCCCTTTAATTAAATATCCTCCTGCTGATCTCATTGACAAATTTTAGGTTTGGAAACTTGGTGACGAACAAGAGATGGGGCCTAGAATTTCTTCACGAAGCCTTTGCAGTCTACTTCCAGTTCGAAATTACCAAACAACTTGCATCCGTCCAATACTATGGAGTAAGTCGGAAAGCTCATATGCTAATTTTCTAGGAACTTTTCCACGTAAGATCGGCGGCGGTAAACACACCAACGTTCGTTGACAAACACAAGCATCCAATCGCCAATAACCAAAGTTATTTTGATGGTAAGTGAAAACACTGAATCCAAAGCATCTTTTACAGGAGTCACTTATTATGCTGGTGGCCAATTGATTTACAATATAGCCACACTAACAGGAGAAAACTTCAAGAAAGCGTTGACCCTCTATCAAAAGCGATACGCGTTTCGAAACGCGGATCTGGACAATCTGCTTGAAATATTTGACGAAGTACGTAGAGTACTTACAAAATCAAACATGTTAATTGTAGGTCTGCGGTAACAACTTTCTGGGCGGCCATAAATTCTCTAGCATAATGCGGACCTTCTTTGTCAAAGGTGGACTCCCCCAAATCCGTATCACCTTAGCCGCTAATGGGGATTACCTTTTTGTGCAAAAGAGAAGCAGTGAGGAGGACGGTTGGAACGTCCCACTCATCTACTACGATCTTGACACTAACGAGACGCTTTACCATCTACTGCCCAAATCAGAATTTTCAACTTTGCCGGGCAATCGGCGATATCTCTTCAACCCGGCCCACAGTATGTATGCCGACGTTTTCATAGATGAGTCTGTTTGGGAAAAAACATTAGCTAATAACACGTTTGGAAAGTTGTCTGGTATTCAACAACTGTCAGTTCTACATCATCTTCTTAAGAAAAGTGAACAAAGGGCCGTTAAGGTGTTGAAAGAGCACGCAAAAAGCATCAACAGCATAGTGTATCCGACCCTGCCAGCGGCCATAACGACGTTAAAGAGGGTGAGTCTTCAAACTGCTACACTTAATCAACAACTAAATTGCGCATTTAGATCAACCCCACCTTGTTGGAGGCCTTATTAGAAAAGTTTGACTTCACTCCAACAATTGAGAATAGGTAATAAACCATTGATACTCCATTACTGAATTTTTTTGGTGCCGCCGATTTCATTCCGGCGACTTTCCGGAAGGACTAGTAACTATAATAGACGAAATTTTTTTCAGAATTTTCGCGCAAGCTCTCTTGGTACTTGGCGTTCACCACAGGTTTCCGCATATTGTAAACGGGGCTCAGAAACTTTTCGATCAATTTATCATAGACTGTGCTCCAGGAAAAGACGTCAGTGCGTGCACACAGTAAGCATTCTAACATGTTAGTACATAAAGTAATGGTTTAGAATTCCACCTGAATTTCGTCCGGCTGTCTACTTCCAAGGAACGAAAACTGAAACAGGTGTCGACTTTCTACAAGACTACGAGAAGCGAGTAAAATCTCACAAACTCGCAAAATTTTTGACACCGGAACTGAAACGGCTAAATACTGTGCGAAAATACCGAGCTGCATAGATCACGGGGAGAGACCAATAAGTCCGCCCGCTTTTCAATGGAAACATTAATATTTTTTAAGCCAATAAATTCATCCATCATCCACCTATGTCGTCAACAATACTTTTCTAACCCTCAAGAGAAACACATTTCGTAAAATTTCGGAATGTCATTCAGTAAAACCACTGAAATCCCCGAAATCAAAATAATTATTGTACAAAAGGGGGACTACGCACAAAAGGATTTTTACTATGAAATTTACATTGTTTAGAGTCCAAAGAAGTTTTGAAGCATTTCAAATAGGACTCAAAGGAACACAAAAGAGTTTAGCCATATAAAAAGCGGCTGGAGGTTTGGTAGACGACGCGAAAATGAGGGTCACAGTATTACTCACATTTCTTTGTATAGCTGTCTGCTCAAATGGGTCAGTTAAACTCGATGCAAATTCAAATTCACCAATTGGCAGCACCGATGACAGTCTGCCACATGACGTCGTCGTACATCAATATGATCTAAAATTTACTCCGTATTTCAATTTTTCGGAATATAGATTTCCAGAAGGTAAGCATTGTATGTACTGTCTTAGTCATTTCAATAGAACAACGCAACACATTCGATGGAGACGCTGCAATTACCTTCTCCGTCTTAAAGACGACGTTTCGAGTGGAACTGACTTCAGCCGTTAATTTGTTGTCTACAGCACTACTACTAAAAGGACAGTCGCTCCGCATAACGACTATTGAGCATAGAGAGAACAACCACACAATCATCAATGCGGATAAAGCTCTGCAGCCAGACTTAAACTACACTCTGAGATTCGAGTTTAACGGTATAATTAACAGGCCGAAATACGGAGCAATATACGCCAAGGACTACGTTGATAAGTCAGGAAATGCAACGTATGATGATAAAACAAAGACTAATATATAAAATTTCAGATCCCTTTTAGGAACACACTTTGAAGCCATACTTGCAAGAGAAGCTTTCCCCTGTTTTGACGATCCCTACTTCAAGTCAATATTTGTGTTAACTCTTGTCCACCCATTGGGATCAAAAGCATACAGTAATGCAAAACCCGCACAATCGGCAAAGAAGAAGTAGGTTCTCAAAGATAATGTCTAACATAATGTTTCAGCGGTCAACAATCAGTCACAACTTTTGAGCCGTCCGTCAAAATGCCGACTTACTTATTTGCATTTGGCATCGGCGACCTGGCCGAAAGCAGTACCAAGAGCAAGCGAGGGGTGGCTGTAAGACGGCCATACGCTAACACGCATTCGATTTTAGATCCGCACCTTAGCTAGCAGAAATAGCACTGGCAGATTAGACCAATCGGCTATATGGGCTGCAAAATGTTTGGACATAATGGAAGACACGTTGAAAGTAAACTACCCCATGGATAAGCTAGGTAAACAAAACTTTTAAATGGTAAATATCGTATGAATCACAGAACATTACGAGACAATGGAACATATTGCCGGTGGAATGGAGAATTTTGGATTCATCATATACCAAAACAGCTTAACCAGTTATATCGACAATGATATTAACTCGGAATGCGGACGGGCAGCGGTAATTTGCCACGAAACGGCACATCAATGGTAAGCGAAGAACAGCTTAAAAACAGATCTCCAGGTTTGGTGATTTGGTAACTGGTAAAAGATGGGGTCTTGAGTTCCTTCATGAAGCTTTCGCAACGTATTTTCAATGGGAAGCAACCAAACAAATAGATCAATTTTCGTACAGTATTGTATGTTTTCATTTCTCATACAAAGATTATTTAACCGTCTAGGAATACTCGACAATCCTTCACGCTGCAGATTCGCGTAACATCTCACAACAAGAAAATCATCCAATCGCTGATAATATCAGCCGCTTCGACGGTAAGACCACTTAAAGAAACGTTAAAGTTGTACTCCAGATGTCACGTATTCGGTTGGGGCACACCTTTTGAGAACAATACAATCTATTACCGGTGAGAACTTCACAATTGCCTTAACCAATTACCAAAAGAAGTATTCATTCCAAAACGCCGATCTTGATTCTTTACTCGGCATCTTCGATGAGGCAAGTTTTTTGAACGAAAAAATTTATTAATTTTTCTCTTAGATTTACCAAGACCGCTTTCTGGGAAATCATAGATTTTCGCTTGTAATGAGCGACTACTTTACATACACGGGTTTGCCAACCATTGAAGTGACGTTATCAGACAACGGTGACTACATGGTGCGGCAAACTTCGAAAGGAAAACAGTGGGATGTCCCAGTCATCTTCTTTGACATTGATAACAAAATTCAATACGTTCATTTAATTCCAAGGAACGCCACCACCTTTTCAACGTTTACTGGAAGTCGCAATTATCTATTTAATCCCGGACTTTCAATGTTTGCTGACGTCTACGTTGACGACACAGTATGGGATAAAATCTTGTCATGTAACACCATAACAAAGTTATCGGGACTCCACCAACTTTCGATAGTAGCAATGCTCTCAAGATCTAATCCGGAAAAGGCTGCCAAATTTGTCCACGATCTGGCGAACCTAAACAACCCAATTTACCCGACCTTGTACGAGCTGCTTTTTACGTTGTCTAATGACGTAAGTTCACGCCCGACTTCAAGCGAAAGGCAACTGCACCAAAAAATAATTGCTGCGTTGGCCAAAAAGTTTGACACAAAGCCAACAATAGAAAACAGGTAAAAAACTGATCCGACCTTTCATAACCAAGCGGATAATTCAGGGTTTTGGGCAGGTCTTTGCTACAACTTGGAGTTCGTGAAGAAGTCCCCGAAGCCGTTGTAATTGTGAAAAAATTATTCGACCAGTTCATTGTCGATTGTGGACCAGGCAAAGAGGTCACCAATTGCACACAGTAGGTTCATATAAAAATTTTTACTTAAAAATCCCACTGCTTAGGATTCCTCCAGAGTTTCGGGTAGCGATATTTTTATATGGCAAACAGACACCTGCAGGAGAGAAGTTCTTGATAGACTATTTGCAACGACTCCAGAAGAGCCCTGCTGCCGACGCATTAAAACCCGAAATAGGCAGAATTCTAGCTGTTGCTTCTCCTCAGCCGTCAAGGGAAAAACTTTACCACAGCCCCAAAACGACATTTTTAACCCAGGAGTTTATAAAGATCTGAAACAAAATAAATATGCTTATCAGCTACAACATGAGATTGTAAAGATTAACTAGCCCGTACTCTGATAAAATTACAATAACGAAAGCCGACGTTAGCTTTGTTGTTCCACCGTTAGTTCATACACAGGTTTCTGTTCATCTTCTACCGTAACAACCGGAGGTACAAAGCCCTCAGGAAGGCGACAGACGGTTAATTTGTGGTGAATCTTCTCTGGCGGTAACAAAGTCACTGAAACGGCAAAATCGTTACCTTCACGCGAACTGTTACATCATCGTCGCGCAAGAATAAACCTACTGCAATCAGTTCGAAGACTGTCAGTGCCTCTTGGGCGTTCGTTGTACTTTTCCCAGAAACAAAGGCCAATTACCAAGACGATAATGAGGAATGTGGCCACAAACATCAAGCTAAAAAATAAAAAAATAAAATCCTGTGTATATAGCTGATTAATGGTCAAAAAGAATGCCTTACTCCCAAGATGTAGTCGACATTCTGGTTCGAATTTGGTCATAGTTCCGTTGGACGTCAGTTTCATTATACGAAAATGGCTTATTAGCTGAGAATGCTATCGTCAAATCCAAGATTATTGCAATTGAGAAAATGAACAGAGATCTTGATGACATTTTTTCTAAATTTCTAAAAAATCATAAACTTCACGTTCAAAACTCGAAACGCGGACTTCACGCAACACCACAATAAAGCAATAAAAACAAAAAAATCGAAACCCTTCGATTGAAAAAACAAACATTTGGGAACACTTTTGTTCACCACATTGTGGCAATTGACTTCACAATTACCCAATTAGAAAAGATTTCAAACCTGAAACACCGAATTTACCCGGTCTTTATAAACCCAGCTCATCGCTCATCGCGCTGTTCGCCTAAGACAGGTGTAACACCGTTCTTCCCGTGCATTGGGCGTTTGGTTTTGTAGACCCAAATTTTGGAGTGCAAATTGATTGGGAAAAACCCCGGCGGAAATTTACAAGGGCATTAGAGGATAGTTCGGGGAATTGGGTCCGGTTTGATCTAACACCCCCACACCCATTCGATTGACTTTGATTGAACCCCCGCTTGAGCTGATTGAGTCGAGTTGGAAAAGTCAGTAATGTTTGGGAAACGCGGTTTGTTGTGTTGTAATCATTTCCTTTTTCAGCAGGAAATTCCAATGACGTTTCAGAGGTTAAACAAAGTGCAGTTATCAACAAGGTCGCCAAAGTGTTGTCGGAAGTTGTTTGCAAGCCTACAAATAACAACTAAACCCTAAAGTCACTGCATGTGCATGAGATGAATTCACTGAATTATCCCCTAAACTTCTAAAAATCATCAATTTTCAGACCAAAAATTTCTCTTGATTTATGAAAAATTGTGGTGTTTGTCGACGATAATGTTACTTAATCATCCTTAATGACCATGAAAATCGACATGGTTGTAAACAGAAACCTTTTTTGAGATGTCTTCGAAAAGGGAAAAAACAAAAAAATCAGCTAAAATTCTGAATTTTTAGGTAATAAGACAACAAGAAATAGCAGTAACTACTACCCAAGGGTTATGTACAACCTTTATTACCCGTAGTCCTCAAGTAAAACTGAAGTTTTCCTTGTAATCCAATAATTTTTGCTTCAACAGGGAATTCATCTCCAATGGAGGGATGTCATGATTGGCGTGTACAACCATTGCTAGATCAACGAAAAGACGCTGAAGTGGTTCATCCAGATGGGCAAACAATTTCTGAGGGTCATCCCAAAATCTGCGCTTCTCCTTGATCAAGTCTTGTTCCATCTAAAAATTATATTATTCATGGAAAAAAAATGGTTGAAAATTTTCCGAAGTTGCCTCAAAATCAACCCAAAAGGCCATATTACGCCTTGTAGTATCATGAGAGGCAAAACCCAATGACTTAAACTTCAAAAAAATGACATTAAACATACCTCAACACTCCAGATCTTCTGGCAAATATTCTCGTAGTATTGTTGATTCTCAAAAGTTACATTCATGACATTTCTGACCCAAGGGACGTGTGTTCGATGATAAACAGTGTAGAGCACGTAGATAAAGGATTCATAGTCGTCGGTAATCGTAACATTGCGCTTGTGCATGGCCATCGGACAATATCCCCAATCTGTGAGCTTGAAAATCGAACTGAAACAAGGGACGAATATAAACATAAAACAAGGTTGATTATGTGATTGGCATCTTCTAAGGCGGTCAGCTTTTAGTTTTATCACTTAGCCTCAAAAAAAATTTTTAGGTAACAAATTTCCAAATCTTTCAAGAAACCTCCCGCACTGTCTCTAAAAATCAAAAAAAAAAAGAAAGGGAAACACTTACTTTTGAACTTCGGCCTTTGGAATTCCATGATAAGCGGGAATTGGATGGCCATTTTGCAAAAATCCGAATTCAAATGACCGATCTCCCTTGGTCTCGACAAAAACTGATGTTGGACTCAAATTGAGGTGGACTTTTCCTCGTTGATGGTATTCATGCAACGCCTGGACAAATTTCAATCCAAAGTCAATCAAATTCGAGACTTCCAATTGACTTTGCCAGAAGGTTTCATGAAGCCGGATAAACTTCTTGTTGTCCTGAAGAAACATGGATAAAGCGGGTCCAAATGTAAGAAAACTGATAAAAATTCCCTAATCAACTCTAAACACCTCAGAGCACCCTGTCAATAATAAAAACGCATCAGATATAACGAAAAGTTATATTACATATGACATCTGACATAATTTTCCAAAAATTCTGACTTAAAAATGATCCCCGTATTTTACCTACCGAACTGAGCAAGATTGCGTCTATTTTCACTCCATCGCTTCGCCAAAGATCAATAAATTCTGAGTCGACATCAAGTTTTCCGAATAATTCATTTCCATTATCGTTGAGCTCTCGAAGAAGGTCCCAGTATGCCTAAAACAAGGTGAACAGTCGTGATAGAACATAAATTCATCAACATTTACACGTATGGACTACACGAAGACGATTTCCGTAAATTATAATACTTTTTTCCTATTGGCAGCTCGCGCCCTGAGTTGAATGGCAGATCTGCAGGCTGCAGATACAAAATTCTTCAAAATGGCAGAGGTTCCGAAGCAAGAAAAGATAAAAAAACGTGTAAAGAAAGAAAAAAATCGTCTTTTTATGCCACCAATCAGATCAGCAACCTAATCTGAGCGTCTAATTTACATCTTCCGACTTACTGTAACATAATTGTAATCAATGCCATCTTCCTGGACTTCATACGCCACAAGATACTCTTCGCACTTGTTGAAGATTTTTATGACGCCATATGGTTTGGGAGTGACGTCTGTGTCATAACTAAATATTGTTTATATTACACTAGACAACATTATTCGCAATTGTCATATTCTAGTAAATCATCGCACAAAGCCTCTAAAATCTCCTTACACAACTCCATTCCACTCAACTGTCCGCTGATCCGTTGGGACGATCACAATATACCGGTAATTTCTTATTTGAACTGCGCGTCTCTTTGCCACGCAATTTCCCATTTTTTTGGGTCGAATCGACCAGTCGATATAAAATAAAAAAATTAAAAAATTCTCTTCGAATTCTCATTGCATCTTTTATTCTTTCACAAATTTACATAAAATCACCATTTTCAAAATTTTATTCATAAAGTTTGGAAAATTTTCAGAATTCCAGAAAACGCGTCATCATGACAACAATTTTTTTTGCAAATTGCAATGGGTTTGGTCTTTGCTGACAAATTTCATTACTGCTTTTTTATTTCTCAAAACTATGTCATGATGACAGATTTTTTTGAATTTTAAAAAGGATGACATGGACAATATTTTAGGTCTAGACAATAAATTTTATGAAAAAAATTACAAATAATATACTAGAAATGGCAAATCAGTACCTACAATTAAATTTTATCATTTTCTGGCAAATTTTCAAAGTGAAAAAGAACGGTAAATAGTTATGGAAAATGTCAAAAAAGTTGAAATCTACACACGTATTCAAGATTGCACTACAAAAGAGATCAGATGACTGTTGTCGGAGACTCGGCCATGGGCTCGTCAAGGGGGCTTGTCCCACTTTGTCTTGAGGAACTCGTTGGGAAACGAGGGGGATTGGATGAGGCTGATGCACTCGATGGCGTTGGAGGTTGATGTCTGAAAATTTTAATCGTGATGAGTAAATCATAAGTAAGTATTGCAATGAAGCCTCCAAAATTCGCAAACAAAAATTCATTTTGAACTGTGCAATTTCTTGCTTTTTGCACCGTGAAATATGATTTTTTGGACTGTCGCTGACGCCCTGACTTCCTCTGTACTGTGAAAAATAACTTCAGCGATTTTGGAACCGGGCTATTATTTACTACAAAAAAATAAAAACTCATTTGAAAAAAATTCTTTACTCTAAAAAAATCAGACACAGTGTAAGACTTTGAAATTATAGCTCAAAACTTACAATGGGTTAGTAAAAATCAGTGCCTCCGGATTCTGGACTTCCACGGATCTTTTCTTTGGGATCACAGGTTGGGGATTTGGGATCCCAAAAGTATCCAAGACTGATACACTCGTATTCCTCCGATCCGTTTGGTCATTGTGTCGATTGTTGTTTAGGGGGACGTTTACTGATGCTAAATACAAAATGGTAATAAATAAACGACCTTTTTCATAGCCAATAGATCATCATAAAAGTATACAAGGTGCCTACTTTTCCTATGATCCACTTCATTTCCAACCGAACCCCGATGCGGCCTGGCTTGAGACTGTCGATTCTGAGCGGCCTTCAGGGCTGCCACGTAGCTTGTGGAAACGGTTGAAGCCTATAATTAGAGATATTGAAATTTGAAATCGCAGTAAAATACGTCATAACTGTCAATCTGTATTGAAAAAACCGGTAAGATTACTTGACAAAATAAATTTTGAACCATTAGCAAAAGTATTACAATAAAATCTAAAGATTTTAAAATGTAAGATACAAAATTGCGCCTCCTCCTACCTTGCTATTATGCCGGTTATTCCCCGACTCCACATCGCTTTCATTGCCCATCGAACTAACTGACGCATCCGACAACTTCCTCGGCCTCACCATGTTTGTCGCGTTCTGCGAATTCGTCCCTGGGCTAAAATACGAGACACTTAGACTCCGTTTTCACTCATAGAATCAGTTAGAAATATCAAAACTCTCCATGTTTATGAATATTATTATTACAACCACGAGTGTTAAAAACGAAATAAAAACCAGTAAATTTATTATGAAAAAACCATTGAAAATCAGATAAATAACCGGAAAACAAGATGAATAATGAAAAAATAAAAGTGTGGATGGCCATTGTAAAACATGGAAAAGTGTGCAGTCAAAAGATAATTTCGCACTGTGCAGTAAAAACAAAGTCCTGCACTGTGCAGAGAGCTGCAGATTTCGCATAGTGCGGCCAAAATAAACTTTTTTAAAGTGCTCCCAACAGCCATCCGTGCAAAATAAAGGAAAAAATCAATGTGTACAGAAACTAGTAAACCATGTACCATGTCAAAAAAAGAAAAAAATAAGTGAAGGACCTCTACTTATAAGGCATGTGTCTTCGACGACTTACAACACATTGGTTATGAACGAAAGAATTACAACGAAAAAGGAATGTTATGACACTTGGAAACTAAGGTACAAATCCATCTCTACACGAACCGTGGTTGTTGTCCCGGGGTCTGCAGGATGACGGCCAAATGATCGACCAGTCGGCGGAATCGGCGGACTGGGCCGGCGGTCAGCGTGAACTGGACGAAGAAGAAGGGACTGGAGGAGTCGGACTGGTCGGTGGCAATGATGTCAACATGCAGTTTGATGCCGCGAGAGAATCCCATTGTGCTGCCGCGGCGGTACTCCACTTTGAAGGAGTTTTGACCCACCACGTGATGACTGAGCTCGTGGATCTGCAAAGAGAATTTGGAGTATGTTTTTTTGATGAAGTGATGAAAAGTATTTCTTCAATAGACTATGTCATAAATTTGGACTATCTTTTGACCCTTCGATTTTGATAAAATTTGGCTTAATTTAAGGCTACATTCATGCTAAAAATATGCGAGATTTTTTGTATGCATTTTGCAGAAACCACCGAATTTTTTTGTGTGAATTGGCACGAATTGGTTAGTATTTTGTGTTGTTTTCACTATGCAGAAAAAATCGGGGTGTGAGCGACAGCCAGAAAAAGCCTATTGCATGGTGTAAAAAGAATAAATTGCAGTACAAAGCAAAGTTATTTTCGCATAGAAATCACTCCAGAAAACTTGCGAACGGACTAGTTGCAAAGGCCTAGAAAACGGACTAGTTGCAAAAGAATAGAAGATTACACTTTTCCAACAAACCTCGAGAGATATCCCGAGATGTCGTATTTTACCCTCTATTTCTATTCTCCCCGCCAACGGAAACCCCTGTTTTTTCGAAAAATTCTTTTCCCCCAATTAAATGCGCAACTTACCGTCAAGAACGCCCGAATGAGTTCCGCTTTTATCGCATTCAGTGTCTTCCCTTCCACTGGCACACATTGAACATCCTCTCGATCATTGCCGACGTTCGAAGTCAACGAGCCAAACCAAGATTTCTTGACCAGACTGAAAAGTACTCAAGTAATGATGAATTTACGGCACTACTTACTCATTAGTTTCGACAAAGTTCACGTCCTCCGAATCGCTCTCCATTCCGCTGCCATTACCCGAGCCCGAACTCATTTTTCGTCGATGGAATCTCGGAGTCCCAAGGAAGGAATTCTTGATTGTATTCAGCTTGGATCTCCAGGGGATTGAAGTGATATTCGTTGCCGACCCACCACCCGACGCCAGGGAATTCGATGACGAAGCGTTGGAGTTGGGATTCGTGACGTATGGAATCTGCGATTCGGGGGTTTGGGGGATAAGGGAGGTGCGGGAGGACGAGGCGGGGGTTTGGGAGGCCACAGCGGCGTTGACTTGGCCTGGAATGAAAGTTGAAGTAAAAATGGGCTATTTCCTGGAACTGTGAGGGAAAAAAAAATTTAATTTTGCAAAAAATGGGCAGCACAAAAATTTTTTTTTTTTTAATTTTGCAAGAAATGGGCACCAAAATCTTTTTTCTAATTTTGCAAACACTGGGCACTAAAAAAAATTTTTAATTTTGCAAAAAATGGGCACCAAAAAATTTTTTTTTTTCATTATGCAAAAAATAAAACAAAATCGCTTTATCTGCCTACCTTGCTGACTTTGCACCGAATCCTTTCGCCTCGACCTATTCCCAGGCGATGCTGCTTGCAGAACCGCCGGATCCACGGGTTGCGTATAATAATGGAAGTTTTGTGGTGCTCTTGTGGCGCCATTACTCCTGTCAGTAGCAGCTCCATTGTTGGAAGAGGGTGTTTGTGGATATAAAACCGAGTTTATCATTGAAGACGCTGATGTCGTGGAATTTGAAGGCGATGCAACCGCGGAGATTGTCGTGGAGTTGGCCTGTCGTGCTGTGGCGATAAGATTGGAGGCGTTGGCACCGTAGAAAGAGCGACCCATTTTGGGAGTGCTGGTGGGGGAACCCGTTAATGAACTGTGACGTTGGCGACCGTGGCGGCTGAAAATTTTGGGATTAAACATGGAGAGGAATTATAATAAAATTTTTGTAAAATTTGGCATAGCTTAAAACGAAGTTTCGCCAAGGCAAAAGAAGAACTTTAAACGTGCCACTGGCAGAAATTTTTAGTACAAAAATGGCCAAATTAAAAAAAATTTTTATAATTTCTTCCTTCAAAAATTCATTGACCGCCCAGGGCAAGGTGCAGAACATTTCCACAAAATAATTTTTTCAATGTAAGGCAAAGAATTTTGACCACAGAAGTGTTTTTGTCTGTGCGACTCTCCTCATTTTATGCGCTCTTTCGCAAAAATAAGAAAAGGGCAAAATATGCCAATTAGAACTTTCAGAAATTGATTTTTTGCCTTTTGAAAGTTTATATGCCAGATCCCCCAGCATAATGTAACTTTTTTTGAGTTACATTATACTTGACGTTATTCAAATTACAAAAAATAATTTGTCTTCCCTTTTCTGGCATTTGGAAACGAGCGTATTTTACCAACTTACCCATAAGTTTTCCTTGGATTTATCGGAGAGCCTTCGCTGATTCCGCCAGTCGGACATCTGGGCCTTGAAGTGTCGGTCCGTTTCCTTGGTGGATCCACTGATCGATTCGAGTCTCGCAACACAACTTCTGTTTCATCTTCTTGCGCTGGCCTTCGTCGTTTTCGGTCGAGCAAAAGATAGTAGACCATCTTTTCGGTGTTGTGTTTTCCAGAGAGAAGTTCCGTGACGAGTTTTTCCTTGTCTTTGAAGCAACCGAGATTGTGCATATGCCTAAAAGTAGGTGTAAATGTGTTTTATTATGTTGCTTATGTCCAAAAAAATTTTTTTTTGACAATTCTGGGATGACATATTGGCTAATTTTTATACAGAATATCACGAAATTTTTGGAAATTCTCAACTTTTACGTATGGAAATTTCGAAAAAAAAATTTTTTTGGGTCCCGCCACGAAAACGTCATTTCTTCTTCCTTACCTAAAAACGTCCGGATCGATGTGATCTTCACTGGGGATAACATGCGTCTGAACCACTTGAGCCATTGGCAACTCCAGTTCTGGCTCGGATTTTGTGCTTCCAATGACCCAAGGATGCCGGAAAACCTCGGCCAAACTCATCCTTCGCTGTGGATCCACTTCAATCATCCCTCGCAACAAACTCTGACAGTCAGGTGGGACAAACTGGGGGATATGAAAGACTCCTTTCTTCACTTTCTCCAACAGATTTCGAAGATTGTCGTCGTCAAAGGGAAGGGCGCCAACAAGAAGGGCGTAGAGGATGACTCCGCAGGACCAAACGTCCGCCTTTCGACCGTCGTATTTTTCACCCTGAAAAAGGATGAGATTTGAGGTAAAACGTGAATAAAGGGGTTTTTAGTATAGAACAATTAAGTAAAATCTTTAATTTTTTGAAGAAATCAGTCAACGAAACCCGAAATAATTTTTTTTACAAAATTTGCCACAAATTTACACTGAAATTTTCTAAGTCCCATGCAAGATTTATCACTTGTGATCTGCTAAATTTACCGACTTTTAGGTCATAAAAATCATCATCTTACGAGTAAAAATTTCATAATCAGAATCTGCTACCGGCAAAGAAAACAAAAAAAATTTTACTAATTAATATCAGCCCTGCTTTTACTAGGTCATCAAAATAAAAAATCAAGGTCATGGTGCCCTCTACAAATTTGATTTTTTTCTGTACCTACCCGTATAACCTCGGGACAAGCATAATGCGGGGAGCCGCAACTGGTCTCCAGCATTGATCCTTCCACTTGAAGCGAGGCCATTCCAAAATCAGCCACTTTGATGTTGTTTCGTTCGTCCAGAAGGAGATTCTCCGGTTTCAAGTCTCGATGACTAAAAAAGAATTTTATTTTATCCTTTTAGATCCTTTTTAATAAAACAGTGTGTTTTACAAGCTTTGGACTCACCAAATATTATGGGCATGGCAAAAATCAAGAGCGGAGATGATTTGTCGAAAGAATTTTCGGGCTTCCTTCGACGTTAACCGTCCTTTTCTCACCAAATAATCGAATAGTTCGCCACCGGAGACGTGCTCGAGTAATAGATATCTAAAAGTATCCATTCATTCTTTAGCTTACTGTATATTACAATACCAAAAACTTACTACACTCACAGCACAACAGATGACAACACTTTGGAAATTAAGATACGGTAATTTCTTACAAATATTTCTTGTTTTCGTAGACATCATAGAGATGGAGAACATACGGATGTTCGATGAGCTTCATGATCGCAATCTCGCGCTCCACCTACAAGAAGACAGACGTAGAGTAAGTTTGGAGGCCGGGGATTGGATGAAATGCGGAGTGAACATCAAACAACGCATGTTCTTTGGTAAGAACACGTCAGATAGTTTGGTATAAAAAGGATTTTTTGGTCGGAATTTTATTTCAAGTCAAAAAAATTTTTTTTTTGATATGAAAATTATTTATAGGTAGTATAAAAATTTACCGAAGGTTTTTGCTATAGTCGAAAATCGAGAAAAAAATCAAAATTAATTTAATTTTTTTTTGTAAAAAATTGGATTCATACGACAAAATTTTTTACTTTATGCATTAGAATAAACCACGGCGTATTTTACATTTTTTTTACTTCAAAATTTTTTTATGTGTAGAAAATTTCAAAATTTTATTTTCAAAAAACCCTTTTTTGATGACAAAAATACTTTGAAATTTTACTAGTGAAAAACCCATTTTCCCGTATTTTACAAAAAAAATCTTTGCCGTTCGCTCAAAGCTTTCTTACCTTCTGAAGAACGGATTCGTTGAGTTTCTCCTTGTTGACGATTTTCACCGCCACTTTTCGACCGGTAATACAATGCACTCCCGATTTGACCAGACCTGAAAAATTTATGTCAATTTTAATTCTTGTTCGTATTTTACAATAACTTTAATTCGCCTTTATTTTTTCTCTTTCTCCGTTTCTAATTTTTCATTTTTTTCACTCCAAATTCCCGAGAATTCATTTTGGAAATCACATGCTCGCTAATTAGTCCGCCATTGTAAGATCATTAATAATCTCTATTAACCTTGGAGTTATCGCGCATGACATCTTCATGTGACCTGAAGATCAGCTCCTTTTTATGTACTTTTAACCTGGAATTCAATCTCTGTGTATGGGCATTTTCGTGGTTTTATAAAATTAAAATTGCGATAGGAAAAAATTTTTGTTTATTTATTAGATATTACTCGTTTTGCTGGGGAGATGCTGAAAATTCAATGAAAATTCTTTTGTTTTACTTATTTTTTTAAAACCAATCTGAATTTTGAACCCAAGCTTTCCATTTTGCTCCGTTTTGATTTGTCTCACTCTCCTTTAAAAGTCATTTTCCACTGTCTACTCAAAACCTTCACGTATCCCCTTCACAAATCAAGTAATTTGACAAATTCCGGTAAACATGATCTATTTTTAACACCGGAAGCCATGAGTTTCCGTTCCAAAAAAAGGACAAAGGTTAGATAAAAACAACCATAAGTCCGGTACGATTAATTACAGCGAGTAAGCGGATTCTGAGCTCGCTAAACTTGTGACGCAATTTTGTGTCAAGCATGATGCAACTAGCGGTCGGAAAATGCAATTTCTTCAGAGTCAGAGGGATATTGGGGGAGGAGAAATTTTTGGAAAGCTTGATTGTGGTTTGTTGCTACTGAAAAGTTCCATTGTAACATTTGTTATGAAGAAAAATACCATTTTTTTGATTAAATCGTGGAAAATGGCTCTGAAGGTAAAGGATACCATTGATGCCCCTTCAAAACTTTTCGTAGATACCTCAGATAACCAGTAGATTATTCTCAGAAAAGCTAGGCATCTATCTTCTATCATGGTCAAGATATTTTCTATTTTTTCGAACACATTCTCTTAATTTTCCATTTCCGTTTTTACATCGCCCTCTGTTCCACCCTCTTCTCTCTCAACTTCTATTACTCATCTCCCCCCGTCCCTACGCATTACATTCCCCATCAAGTTGATGTAAAAATAACCCTTTTCTCTCAACCGCACTTGATGGATTCCCAAGATTTTCGAAGAGAATCCGGCGTTGAAATGTGTGGGGTCATTCCATCGACGAAACGAAAAAAAAACACATTGAACGGAAATTACAGCAAAGACGAAAGCGCGGCGACCAATCGACGAAAAAAAAACTTTTAATGGTCGACGCTAGCATCATTATGATGCGGGCTGTATTTAAACTTTCGCAGGCAGCAAAGTGGTTAGAAGTACGTTGAATGCGAAGTTGTGGTGATAACTCGCTTCTTTGGGGTGGGATTTTTTGAGTTTTGGAGCCCTGTGGAGCATTTTAGCTGGAGGAATTTGTGAGAAATACATAGCTAGAAGTGCGGTGCTTATATTTACCGAAAAATTCGTACCAGAAATGTGGGCTGTAGTCTAACCACTTTTTAATGTTGGATTTTGTAGACCGCGCGCGTTGGAGATATTTTTTGGCAAAAAAACTGCCAAAATACCGCCACAAACCATGACTCTTAGGTACATCTTTTGCAAATCTATAGCAGGAACAGTTTGGTGTCTGAAAAAAGCCCAACGGCCGCTTCTAACTTTTACAACTCCAAATCAACGCTTTCAAAATTTTGTAACTCTGATCTGACTGACTCATTGTTCCTTTATCAATAAAAATCCTTAATCAACCCGAAATTTCATCAAAAAAGAGCGCCGAAAATTTAATTTCTTCGAATCAACATTTCGCTTAACTATTCGCTGTAATGTTCGTTGGGGGTCGCTGAGAAATGCGTCTTTTAAAGATTTATGCGTTCTATTATTGGAGAAGACGTATTTGAAAATAGTCAAGGCTGCCTTGGGTTTCTTTAATGTAACGGACGTGGGAAATCAAAACTTCCGTTCAATCGGTGTGACCGAATTTTTGGGTTCACAGGGAGCTTGATTTTTAAAAAGCAATTCGTGGGATGGCAGGTTACAATGGGGGACCTGATCAAGTGGTAAAAAAACGTATTATTTTGGCATCCGGGAAGTATCAAAAATATGGCAAAATATCTCCCTCTCCAAGTAAAAAAACTTCGTTTTGAAGGGCTTTCCCTTACAAAAAGAGCGGGTGCGCTTTTGAAATCGGAATTTTTTCACTTGGAGATGGAAGCATTCTGTCACATTTTAGATACTCCCCGGATGCAAAATGGTACGTTTTTTGCCGCTGGATCAGATCTCCCGCTGCAGATAGGTTGGGTTCTTTTGGGATAGTGTCATATTTCGAGGCCTATATCTAAAAAGTTGTGAAATGAAGGTCTCCTAGTCTTTGGATATTTGGACTCAGCAGATTAGCAGCTCTCTATTGGTGGTAAAATCATTCTTTTTTTTTGCTACTGAATTTGTTCTGGTTCAGTTCGTTTGCCTGAACTTAACTTATTGATTGAACCGCATTACAACCAGAGATTTCTTTTTTAAATATAGCGTTCTATAACTGCTTACTACCGAACCTCCAGCATATGTCATCATCCCAAAACTTTTTCCTCACAGACCGTTTGTTGTACCATGCCTAATAATACCAGTTGACCGCCCCGAATTCGCTCCGATAAATCATCGCCGAATTTCGCAATCGCTGATCCGCGAAAAACTCGATGAAATACCGAAGCCTGTCGTCGCTTTCTTTTGATCGCGAGCCAACGTGAGAGTGCCTACGGCCTCCCATCCCCCGCGCGTGGTCGTGACTTCACCGCTTTCCTGTTACATCACTTTTTGGGAATCTGAAGAAAGAGGCGATTGGCTTTTGGTGTTGGGGTTTGTTTTTCGGTGGCTAGTCACCACGAGGTTGCTATTAGTAGGCCGGCAATCGATGGGAAAGTGTGAGAAAATAGGGAAAGGTGGAAGATCAGCGTTTTCATTGAATTTTTTGGCAGTGCAAGGGATTGACGACCTCTATAGCAACCAAAGGCTATGATCCTATATTTTGATGATTTTTTATTGCGAAAAAACGGGCTTGTTGTGTAGCGACAGTAAGAGTATTAAGCTACCGTATCTATATTTTGTTTTTATTTGTGTCGGTCAACTTTTGACCCGTTCTCATCAAAAGTCTTGATTTTCTAGCGATTTTTTGGCAATTACGGTGGCGCAGAAGTTGTGTTAAAACCCTTAAGGTATCAGTAGGACAGTCCGTGTATTTTAAAGAGTGTTTTACCCCTAGTTTTTTGCCTACGTTTGCGCATTACCCCGAAAAATCGACAATTCAGCTTTTATGGGTATGAGCCGGCTTGTTGGGCTTCCAAGGCATACTATTTTTGATTTCGTGATTTTATTGTCAAAAAAGAGGTATTACAAGCGCAAATATATACCCCGTATTTTAAAAACTGATTTCCGATACGATTTTGGGCTACTATTTGCCGAGATTGCCCAAAAAAAGGATTTTTAGCTTGTGTGATGAAAAACCTTCTTCAGGAAGCAAAATTTACAAATATCTGACATTTTTGGCTGGTCTTCTATAAACATGAGCCAGTGGTCCCGAGACGACTACATTTTCCTAATATTTATCCCATTAGTTTTTAGGTTATATAGCCTTTTTTACTTTCTGACTCCTCTTTCCAATTCAGAGAATACTCCAGTCAGAGTCATCATTTTTCGAAACCCATTTCCCCACATAAAAAGTGCAATACAACCAGCTGTGTAACCTCCATATGATTCTAGACCAGTCCTCGGGGTAATTTATGAGCCCTATTTTATATTTCTCAAAGTTCCTATATAGCATGTTTCTTGAGCCTATAAATGGGTTGTTTACTGGAAGTTTCCTTTTTTTTGGTGGGTGTAAATCAAAACGATTATAAATAGCGGATGTTTTTATGAATGAACGTTGGTCTCCCGGTCGGTGATGGCTACTGTTTTTGAAAGGTGGAAGGTCGATTGTATTTACTTGGAAAATCGGGGTGCGGGCAGGTTGTTGTGATCGATTTGGGGATGGAAGTTTTACTTTTTTTGTTAGGTTTAATTTAAAGCTATAAAAATAGGTTTTCAGCCACGTTTCTACGAGGAAATGCTAATGGTTTTCGCGGCGAGACCCAAATAAATAAATAATAATTTTTCTGGGTCCCACCACGAAAAGTATCAAATTGTGGGAGAAGTGTTAATCAGATGTTAAATTTAATTGCGCGAGCTATGATAAAAATATTTTTTTGAATTTAATAGAGCTGTGAGGTCAAAAAAAATTTTTCGGTCTCACCACGAAAACAAGAAGTTTTGCAAAATGCATGACATGCTCTGAAAATTGAATTTTTTCCGACGGTAATAAAATTTTTGATATTTATTGCTATTAAATTTTCGTATTTTACCCAAAAAATTCTCTTGTCATTGACTCACCCGTTTGCCCTTTTCCCAACGTCTTCTCCAACTTGTATGGCCCGCAATATTGCACCTGATGGGCGGTGAAGGTGGACTGGCCAGCCAGCCGACTCGACGCGGTCCCATTCGAGTCGGGGGCGCGAGTCGCGGCGGTACGGCCGTTCGCCGCACTCATTCTCGCGTCCAGTTCCACCTTGAACTCGGCGAGCTTGGCGTGCACTTCATCTGAAACGATTTGTGAGTGAATATTTGAATTTATTTAGGCAAAACTACATATTTAGACAAAGGAGGAAAATTTCTAACATTTTTTTTTATTTTTTTTTATTTTGTCACTAAGCTACTGTCACGTATCATAATATATTTCACCCCTCCTACATAAAATTTCATCCGAAATTCCTTCTAGTCTTTGAATTTCGCTCCCCAATCTTTGGTTCATGTCAAGAAGTATCTTTCTTTTCTTCGGCCCTCCAAAAATTCTCTCCAATTCCCGGTGTGGGAATTTGGGATTCGGATGTGTTTTTTTCACACTCGCCAAGAAAATGCGGGATGCTGGAAACGAGATGCGGATATTCATTTTCGCGGTTGAAAAATTATCACTGGGACTTTGGAGGGAGGAACAGCGATGGCTGGAAGAGATTCGGTGAAGATGTGTAAACGGGGAGATGGGAGAAGATAAGAAGAAGTAAGCAGTAATGATTGAGAAACATGAACTTTAAAAAAGAGCTGGTAATGAGGTAAAATACGTGTCCTTGAGATATGACTAATGACAAGGTTTGTAAAGGGGGTCAAATTTAAGGCAGCGCCTAAATTATAATAAAATCTATTATATTATGTCCTTTGGGCAATCTAATAATTTCGCTGATTTCCTGGAAAATTCGATCTAAAAATCTTACAATTCCCCTATAACATCCTATTTTAGACTTTCTTGACCTCTGCCAAAATCTGAATACTTATTTTCAATCGGTCTCTTTGTACCTTTATTAAAGCGCGCTCCAAAACCCAATGACTTTAGTACCGTCATACTTTTTCTACAATTTTTTTCTCCATTCTCTAACTACTTCCTCAACCGTCTTCCCAATTTATCCCCACATCCCGACATCTCAAGTTGGTCATCGAAATCCCCCGTGACCTCATCTCGTAAATGGTCAAAAAATCCGGCAAAAAAATGTGGGCCTCGTCCTCTCCGAATCCCGGCTCCAAGCGGTCCCCAAGCGCTTATTGACTTGTTTTTTCTATATGCGAAGATTGGTTATTTTATGGCTCTAGAGCCCAATGAATTTGGAGGATGAAAAACAGCGAAAAAAAGCGGGGACGCGAGCTTCGGATGAACCTCAATTGCACTTCATGAATTGAAGAGGTTTGAGGTTCAGTGCAGGAGAATAATGATTGAGACGACGAGGATGTGAAAAGAATTAATATGCCTGGAGCATGCACCTATAGGGAGAATAGACTCTGAGGTCAAGCGGGATAAAAGAGGGTACTTTTTGGATCAGTGAATTTTTTCTGGAAGGTAAGATTGATGACCACAGATTTGATTAAGATTATAGAATTTTCTGGAATGCCAGGCAAGTACATGGCTTTTAAATATCAAGAAGGTGTAAAGACCCCTACAAGTATTTGTCTCGGAGGCAAGTGACAGCTGTTGTACCTGTTAGGGAAGCTCTGGACAGTTTCATAAATTTTTATGTCATGGATAACATAAATATGCCCGGAATTCTCGCCATAATTATGGTAGATGAAAATCATAACCCACCTACGTTCAGCAGGGCTTAGTCAACTATAATTGAAAATGACGTCACTCTACCTTGCTAGTTTTGGTTATGGAGCCCAAATTTTGCCTCGGCCCCTATTTGATCGCCTAAATTAATATTTGCTGCCATTTTTTGTTCAACTGATCTACCGTATTATAATATCTACACTTTCAGTTGGTTAAACAGGGTCTAAGCTACAAAAATCTCGACTATTGAGCCTCCATAAGTCCCAGTTTTCGATTTACGAGCAAAATTTTGCCTTCGCACCCCTACCAGTAGTCTTCATCAATAAATTTGTCATTTCTCCTCTCAGATTTCCCTAAATCTCAACAAAACTAATGAAAAACTCCTTACCGAGTACCTCTCTGGCGGTGGACATTCATGAAATTGGTATTTCATAAAAGGCTCCAAAAAGACGGCGTAATTTTCCTTTGTGAACGGAGGAGAGGGGAACGTTGAATGGCTGTTTCGCACGCTCAAAACCAAAAACCGCAAAACGTCTTCAGAACCGTATCGTGATTATATACATGACCGGTTGGTTGACGAGGACTGGAAATTTGACGATTATTTCAACGGTTACGCATTGTTTATTATGGAAATTGTGAATGAATACACGATTATTAGAGCACGTAAATTTAGTTATCGGCCAAAAATAGAGTGGTGTCATCCGCATTCAACAGTGGCACGAGGTTTTTTTTGGGAGTCAGATTCCGGGAAAGGGCGTTTCAATTAACTGGACGTGTAATTAACAATGGAAACAAGAGAAGGGCCTGGGGAAATGTTTTTGAGCTGCGGTTTGAGGCAAAAAAATCAAAAAAATGTGAAAAAAGTGGGGAAGGAAGGAAAATTAGGCAAATTGGCGCACAAACATAAGAAATTAAGAGGTGAAATGCGGTGAAAAAAAATTTAAAATACGTATAATCGACGTTGGCTGGTAGTTAAAATATTTTCATTGGAAATTTCAGAAAAGCGGCACAAATGGCAAAAATTTGAACGAATTTGTAAAAAAATAAATTTTCAAAGGCCAAGGGGCAACTTAAAATTTTCTCAAAACGCCCCATGGCACTCCCATAGCTTCATATTTTCCATCCAATTCAAAAAAAATTTAAAAATAACCGAAAACATTTCATCGTATAAATTGTCGCCAAATTGTGCAATTTCCTCGGAACCGCCGGGAAACTTATGAAAATCAAATGCAGTCTCGCGAAATCTGTTCCAGACATATCCCTTCAGACATATCCGGCCCTAACGATGTAACATGACACGTTTTGCGGCCGGGCCCGCCGGCTATGTTCTTTGGGAGTGTGTGCGCAAGCCAAAACTCGAGTTATGCCCTCCGGGGGGCGCTTTTCTTCGGCGCGGGGCCAAAGGAGGGCGACCATTTATTATGGCGCACTGTTTCCGGCCCCCCAAAAAGGCGGCCGGAGGAGGGAAAAGCCGGAAAATTGCGAGCAAAACTAACAGCTCTTCGTTTGGGAAGTGTTCAGCGGGCGAAAAACGAAACAAACCACGGCCAGAAAAGGCGAGAGGACGCTGATTTATGAGGGCTGGGTAATTAAGGGAATTAGCCGAAAGACGGATGTGATATTGTAATTGGAATCTAGGGTATTTATGTTGCTCTAGGAAGCTCCGAGAAGTCCAAATTTTTATAGGACGCGCCTTCAAAAATATAATAAGTTGAAAATATCAAACACCAAAAATAACGGAAATTGGCAAAAAGGACACCGTCTGGAAGCTCTATATGATATACACATATAGCAAAAAAAATCATGGAATAAAAAAATCTCATTTGCCTGGAGCAATTTTTCCTTCAAATCTCATCAAAACAGCCAGTGTGCGAAGGGTTTTTTTATAACTTCCGTATTTCTAGAGATGAAAAGTTCGAGGCGAGAGTACTTGAACTTTCATAAAACATTTTTTCAGCCATGCATCATCAAGTTGAAAAATGGGGAAAATGGTTTCAAACGGTCTGAAAAGGTGATTGTTTGAGAAAAATCAGTTTTATGCCCAGAAAGAAGAGTTCATTCCAGAGAACGTATTTTACAATGGTGCAGTTTGTTGAATCAATCAGAAATTTAGAATTCCCAGATCAGAACGTTGCTATTCTCTTCGACGTATTTGGCCGCTATATTCGGTGCTATTGTTCTATAAACAAAACAAATTTCATTTTCTGCAACCCATTTTCCTTCCAAACATACGAATAGCCTTTGGCCTAAAAAACAACCCAGCATCATCACCTAGCCCCTCGGCAAACATGTTGCGTCACACATACCGCAAAAACTTTTTCGAATAACCATTTTCGGCCCCCCTTTCGGAATGTCAATAATTTTGTGGCGTTGGCCGAAAACAGCGGAAGTGATGGATGGAGGGATGAGAAAAAGTTATTAATATTCCCGTGAACAGTCGAGAAGTGCCTTACATAGTGCATTCATTAGAGAGGTTCTGGGGAGAGCAAATTGTGGGTTTGAGAGGAAAGGTGGGAAACAGAACAAGATATTTATTGAAAAACAATCTTCAGACACACTGAAGAGATTTTTAACAAACTGGGCATGCGCAAAGGGTAATGGGGATAATTTTAGTCCAGCGTCTTGCAGCCTCATCCAAGATATACAACGATCTTTCTATATCCTTTTGAATCTACTGCAAAGGCAATTGATGTTCAGTAGAGTCGCGGTGCTCAGCACTTCCCAAAAAACGCAGATTTTTTCAACGTTGTTTTTTAGTCGCATTTTCGGCCAATTTCCGATACAAAAACCTTTAGAGTCACTAAATCTTAACTTGTCAGCAATATACAGGGTGGGGCATCTTTGTGGCCCAACTTAAATTTGCTATGACTTTTTCAGTTTTTGGCCTGTAAAAATCTGGCTTCCTCGTAAGAAAATTCGGGTCTTAGTTTACAGGAATCTTTATCAACTTCATAGCTCTAAAGTCATAACGCATCAAAGCCTGATATATACACTCCAAAGGAAACCAAAAAAAAATATGGTCCAGGTTAGTCATTGGTTCATAAATCCCAAGCAAATGGGAATATGACTAGTCTATTGTCCAACAAATAATCTCAATGCGGGCTCAAAGAGATATCGGATAAACTGAGTGGAGATTTTAATATGTATAGTATATTACGCGAGGAGGATATTCTACGTGAGATTCGGGAAAAATTTCAATACTTTGTGGGCAAACAGACGAGTTCAAGTGCCTTTAAATGTCCTGTTTTTGACGCTGGACCGTCTCTCATCATGTAGTTTACTTAGTAATAGACTGAACCGTCAATTAAAGTCATCACAATACAAACCTAGGTCCCAAACGTGCAAAATCCAAGATTTTTTCGGGGATTTTAATTCATTACCGCATCTCGCATGCCGCGTGAGATATGAAAATGCAAAAAATAGTAAAAGAAGTCCAGGGAGACAAAAAGTCTGTGGTCCTCATTAAAAATGGAAGCAAAATTTGGGTTCAATTTACTTTACATTCGTTTTTCTTAACAAGTTTGCGCTACGGTTCAAAAATGACGTTGTAAATGCAAAGAAAGCACCAGCATAGCCTCAAAACCCCCGAGGTTTGAACTCGATTTTGTCGAACCTCAACCGCCAACTTTATCGAATATGTTGGCGGTGTTTGATAAAATTCGGAAACGTGCCGCAGGCGACGAAAATTAGGCCAAGGGAAATTTGTGGGCAAAACTTTTTTCTCGGCCCGAGAAATTCAATTTCCCCGCAGTCCGTCGAGCCGCGAGAAGGAACCAAAAACAAAGTTTTGGGCTGCTGGAAAAGGCCTTGGAATAACCGGGGTGTAAAATGCAGCGAGATTGCCGGGAGGGGAGGCATTTTTTGGGACAAAAAAGTGTATTTTTGTGCGGCGAAAAATCGGATTCCAAAAAGGAATTTGTGCGGGCCTCGAGGCCCAAAAAAGAGACAAGCGGAGGCGCGGCCCAAAAGCGGCCGACGGCTCTTTTCGGCGGCGTCTCCGAGTTTTGTGCGCTATTTCTTTGGCACTGCCATTCTCGCCGCCTATGGCATAGTAAATCTTTTCGTGCAGAATATATCGATGTCTGGCCGTCTCTAGGAAATTCCAAAGCCTTAGGAAGTATTTTTCAGCTCGCTAGTGGCCTGAAAACTATGTGGTATGTATGAGTGGTATGCTATCTATAGCTTTTGCTTACTTCTCTCGATTCTTGGACGTCTTTGGTCTTGGATTGCTTGTTTTCTTGTTATTATACCCTCTAGAAATCCTCTTTTCTGTCTATGAAGCCTTTTATTTCCTTTTTTCTGCCAACACAAAAAATCTCTGTTGTTTACATTCTCAATAAATGGTATATATTTAGTTTATTCTGTCTTCTGGGCTTTCATGTCTATGTACTCTTTAGATTTAGTTTGAATCTTCACTTGGGTCTTCTGTATAAAAAAATGTAACCATTTAATTTTTTGACTCCAATAGTCATACTATGTACATATTATGGATACATCATGAACATACATCGTTTTTGAGCTCAAATCTCTCTTATTTTGCACGAGCTCTCATTCTCTCCAACCCTACAAACTTTTGTCTGTCCATGTCTTCACAGCTAACCATGTCGTATGTCAATGTCATTTTCTTGCACATCGCCGCAAGACAGATTAGTCTACCAATAAATATCATCGTTTTTTGTTGTCTGCGTTTGTTTTTCTGTTTATTTATTAGTACAAGAAAACTTAGTTTGCATATGTTCGATGGTCCGTATAGGGCAAGAAGGGTTTACAGAAAATTTAAAAATATTATTGTTCAAAAAACGCATTGACCTATGCGTGTATTTTGATGTAAATTTAGGGAAATAGACTGGTTAAAAATTGGTTCTTTTAATGAATGATAAGGGTAAAATACGGCGTGGTGTTTTGTACATAGGTAAAAATAATAAGTCGGCCTCTCTTTTCGGCTTCAAAAATGCATTTGTTGAAAAAACTTCACCTTCATCTTTCTCTATCCTCCCTTTTTTTGACCTCTACTTTCCAACTGCCAACTTCCTCAAAGCTCTATTGTCTTTGGTTCCCAGAATCGCCGTAACTCTTTTCTTTCCGTGTCTGCCTGCGCGGCCAGGACCTCATCCGCCCTCTCGTCTCACACGCCTTGACCCGGTGCGAATGCGGCGGTGACTCGGAACGGAAAATTAGCCAAATTTTACGCAATCCCTGGGAGAATATTTCGGAGAGAGTGCGAATGCCTGCCGTTTGCACTTGGGTTTCGAAATTCGGCCCGAGGGCGGAAGCAACGAGATAAGTGAGCGTTTTAATTATGGAAAGGCCAGAAAATAAATATGCAAATTTTCGGCGGGGAGATGGAATTTAATCCATTTTAAATGGCCTCGAGGCAAAATGAAGGGGGATGGAATATGAATTGGATGGTAAAATACGAGACGACCCAGGAAATTGTGTATTTTTCGCAACGGGAAAAATGAAAGTTTCTGGATTTGGCTAATTTTTTGGGGAATTCTGCATAACGCGTTTTGTCAGAAATTTCTTTAGCCACGTTTTGTCAAAAATTGCTGGGAAAAAATCAAACCTTTTTTCCGAAATATTTCTACTATTCCAAACACATGCTGTCACAATCGCCATCTTTTTGTCTTGTGGATTTGAAACTCCCCGGCTCCAAGTACTTCCGGCAGCATGATGCTATTGTCCGCTGAGTCCACATCACTCATTCTGCTGACCCTCTAAAGCCCCGAAAAGAACGGAGAACCCGAAGTACGCAGCGAACAAACACAATGAAATGTGGCTTATAACACTGGCACATTCGTCATTCATAAATGTGTTCGGAAGCTAGCAAATACAACAAAAGAAGTTTTGCAGAGATGCAAGGGAAAATGCCCGTGAAAAATATAGAAGTACTTTGAAACAATTTCGACGTACGGGACTTGAAGATTCTGGTAAAAATGGCTGGAAATGATGATTAATGTTTCTTAGGGTATCAAAAAGACTCAGCTCTTGCTTTGTGGCTTCAACTACGACTCTTAAAGATGATTTGATGCCTTTGCTTTTGTGCATAAAGCAGAACTTTCTTGTAAAAAACTTTTTGCGTCTTCACACAAAGCTCAAAGAAAAAGGGCCAGACATTTTTTATCAAAAAGTTTTTCCTATTTATGCATGGTCTCTAATTTGGAAGACAGCAATCCGGAAATCATGTGAAAGCCCCTCTGAGTCTTATAAATTGGATCAAAAAATCTTCTACTTACATTCCGGATATTCTTTGAGATGACTATGCTATCCAAAAGCATTGCTGTCCAGCAAAATATATGCAAGTCCACATCTTCGTATTTTACCTTATTATTGCCTCTAAACGACGCTTCAGAGCATTAGAACGAGGTTTCTCTTTATGTGTTTGAGCTATTACATATGTACAGGGTGGTCCAGCTAAGTTCGCGGACGTAAAATGCTTATAACTTTTTATAGGATTGTTCAATTTTTATGAGCAATAGCTCATTTTATTCCTTAGTAGTTGCCATTTTGTTTAAAAAAAGATCATTAAAAATGATCACTCCTACGTCGAGTTATGACCCTTCAAAGTCAAACATGCTTTTCACGTAAATTTTTAAAAAAATTTAATTTTCAAAAATTTTTGAATTGCGGTGTCACCGCTCGCTGTTACCGGGAAATGATGGTGAACAGAGCGATCCCAGCTTGGCCCAATTTTGCCAGTCTTTGGTATTCTTTCATAATTTGGCGCCTCATTTGTTCATCCTGGCGAACTCGTTCCACCTCTTCTTCGATTACGCGCTTCAATTCCACGTCTTTGGGCGCCAATCCCTGATGAAAATCCGCTGTTTTAAGAACCCCCAAATAGAGAAATCTAGCGGAGTTAGATCAGGTGAACGCGGGGGCCAAGCAATTGGAGCTGGTTGCCGCGCAGATCCCCGGCCCATCCAACGACCTGGAAAAACCTGGTCAAGGAGTTGACGGACCGCTATAGCAAAATGAGGTGGCGCGCCGTCTTCTTGAAAAACAAGACTGGCAAAATTGGTCCAATTTTGCATAGCTGGGATCGCTCTGTTCACCATCATTTCCCGGTACCAGCGAGCGGTGACACCGCAATTCAAAAATTTTTGAAAATTAAATTTTTTAAAAAATTTACGTGAAAAAGCATGTTTGACTTTGAAGGGTCATAACTCGACGTAGGAGTGATCATTTTTAATGATCTTTTTTTTAAACAAAATGGCAACTACTAAGGAATAAAATGAGCTATTGCTCATAAAAATTGAACAATCCTATAAAAAGTTATAAGCATTTTACATCCGCGAACTTAGCTGGACCACCCTGTATGTACATGTACGGTATTTCTTTTTCTTTATGACCGGAAAATCCGTGGGAGGTCCGAGTGGGCATTGTTTTGTTCTTGTAACAAACGGCAGCAGAGTATTGATCTTTGCATGTTGATGCAGTATATCTCCATGGCAGCTGCGAACATTTCAATTGTAAAACTCCTAGAAAGCCTTTTCAAATCCAGAGATCTTTTTTCTTCCTCAGTTTCTGTCAAAACCACAATTCTTCATCGGTTACAAAGATTGTAAGCAGAGTAACGTGTCTTCGTCTGTTCTATACAAATTTCCTTTTTTATCTTTATTATCAAAGTTTTAAACGAGGGTTTTGAATGACTTTAGGGCAGCCTTTTCCATATTTATCAGTTTTATCAATCGTTCAGAGGTTTTTTTTTTGATTTCCAGCCGTTCATTGTTCTATTTTCTGCTTATGTCTTGGACTGAAACCCATAAATAGTGATGAAATGAAAGTCAAATTCTCATTTCAATCAATTCCTTTCAGTTTTTGAGAAGTTTTTTGTTGAATTTTAAACAGTTTTTCTAAATTGTAAGCTATTTTATTTGAACCATTTTAGAATACGTAATTTTGACTAAGCATTTTAAAACGCGTTTTGCCACACTTTGGAGCTTAGCCTAACAGGGGGCGGACATTGTTAAAATCGATGTCTCAGAATTAAACCAAAATTGGTCAACTTGATCGTCATGACAGACAAAACATTCGCTTTCTTTATTTTTGCCCAAAATTACCGTATGACGGCATACTGTAACATTCTTTCTTAAAAAAGATATGCCCTAATCGAGAAAACGAAGCGTTATTTTAGCTCAAATCGAGCTCAGTCGTACGTTTTCGACCATGTAGAACATTTTTGTAATTGTCACCAAAAACTAAAAATTACATCTAAGCTATGTTACACATGAGGTAACATACTATTTCGGGTGTAAAATGGGCTACTGTAGCTTGTAGCACTTTTAGATACGCTTAAAAAAAACTTCAACCTTAACCCAATAAACAGTAGAAATTTTAAAAAAATAAAATGCACAACTTTTGAGATACAGGGATTTCAATCTGTCATGTACAAGGTCATCAGAACCCCGAAAAAAGCTGGCATTCTTGGGATTTCGGGTTGTAGCACTTTTTGATATCCTCTAATACATTATTGGCCTTGTAAACGATGATGATGAAAATTTCAGGCGAAAAAAATGCACAACTTTCGAGAAAATGACCAAAATACCTTATTTTAGGTCATCAGAACCCCGAAAAAAGCTGGCATTCTTGGGATTTCGGGTTGTAGCACTTTTTGATAGCCTCTAATACATTATTAGCCTTGTAAACGATGATGGTGAAAATTTCAGGCGAAAAAATGCACAAAAAAAAAATTTTCGGGTGACCTAAAATAAGGTCTTTTGGTCATTTTCTCGAAAGTTGTGCATTTTTTTCGCCTGAAATTTTCGCCATCATCGTTTGCAAGGGCAGTAATGTATTAGAGGCTATCAAAAAGTGCTACAACCCGAAATCCCAAGAATGCCAGCTTTTTTCGGGGTTCTGATGACCTAAAATAAGGTATTTTGGTCATTTTCTCGAAAGTTGTGCATTTTTTTCGCCTGAAATTTTCATCATCATCGTTTACAAGGCTAATAATGTATTAGAGGCTATCAAAAAGTGCTACAACCCGAAATCCTAAGAATGCCAGCTTTTTCGGGGTTCTGATGACCTAAAATAAGGTCTTTTGGCCATTTTCTCGAAAGTTGTGCATTTTTTTCGCCTGAAATTTTCATCATCATCGTTTACAAGGCTAATAATGTATTAGAGGCTATCAAAAAGTGCTACAACCTGAAATCCCAAGAATGCCAGCTTTTTTCGGGGTTCTGATGACCTAAAATAAGGTATTTTGGTCATTTTCTCGAAAGTTGTGCATTTTTTTTGCCTGAAATTTTCACCATCATCGTTTACAAGGCTAATAATGTATTAGAGGCTATCAAAAAGTGCTACAACCTGAAATCCCAAGAATGCCAGCTTTTTTCGGGGTTCTGATGACCTAAAATAAGGTATTTTGGTCATTTTCTCGAAAGTTGTGCATTTTTTTCGCCTGAAATTTTCATCATCATCGTTTACAAGGCTAATAATGTATTAGAGGCTATCAAAAAGTGCTACAACCCGAAATCCCAAGAATGCCAGCTTTTTTCGGGGTTCTGATGACCTAAAATAAGGTCTTTTGATCATTTTCTCGAAAGTTGTGCATTTTTTTCGCCTGAAATTTTCACCATCATCGTTTACAAGGCTAATAATGTATTAGAGGCTATCAAAAAGTGCTACAACCCGAAATCCCAAGAATGCCAGCTTTTTTCGGGGTTCTGATGACCTAAAATAAGGTATTTTGGTCATTTTCTCGAAAGTTGTGCATTTTTTTCGCCTGAAATTTTCATCATCATCGTTTACAAGGCCAATAATGTATTAGAGGATATCAAAAAGTGCTACAACCCGAAATCCCAAGAATGCCAGCTTTTTTCGGGGTTCTGATGACCTTGTACATGACAGATTGAAATCCCTGTATCTCAAAAGTTGTGCATTTTATTTTTTTAAAATTTCTACTGTTTATTGGGTTAAGGTTGAAGTTTTTTTAAGCGTATCTAAAAGTGCTACAAGCTACAGTAGCCCATTTTACACCCGAAATAGTATGTTACCTCATGTGTAACATAGCTTAGATGTAATTTTTAGTTTTTGGTGACAATTACAAAAATGTTCTACATGGTCGAAAACGTACGACTGAGCTCGATTTGAGCTAAAATAACGCTTCGTTTTCTCGATTAGGGCATATCTTTTTTAAGAAAGAATGTTACAGTATGCCGTCATACGGTAATTTTGGGCAAAAATAAAGAAAGCGAATGTTTTGTCTGTCATGACGATCAAGTTGACCAATTTTGGTTTAATTCTGAGACATCGACTCAACAATGTCCGGGCCAATCTACGATTTGTAATAAAACGCGTTTTAAAAAATATAATTTCTTATTGAAGTCGCTTACTCTTCGCGATGTAACGTATCTAAAACACAACTAAAAAAATCATTTTTCAGCCTCAAAATGACAGTTCGTCAAGAGAATTACATAGATGAAAGGGTGGACGCCACCGCGGAAGAAGCTGTTTTTGCCCAAATCGGATCGTTGTTGAAGGCCCTAAGGCCTGAATGGTTTTTGGATCAAGTCATTTTCAAGCCATTTACCAATGGGATTACCAATAAAGTGATCAGTGTTCAAGGTGGCAAAGGAGAGAAGTTGATCTTCAGAATCTTTGGAGTTGGCACGGAAAAAGTTGTGGATAGGTGAGAAGTTCAACTAAAAAAATATTTTTTTTGTTCGAAAAAAGTTTTAAAATACGACCTCTATTGTTTTCTGTTTATTTTTAGGAACAGTGAAATGAAGAGTTTCGAATTATTGAGCAGACATGGGCTGGCGCCTGCAGTGGAAGCCCGATTTGCCAATGGCTTTGTTTGTGGTTACCTTCCAGGAGAACCAATTGATGTGGAGAGCGTGAGAAGTGCTAAACTTGTGCCGTAAGTTGATCTACGACTTCTTTGAAGTATGACTTTAGACGAGTGCTGGTGAAAAAACCAAAAAAAATAGTATTTATGCATAAAGAATGGCTTACAGGGGAAGTACCCCAAGTGCGACGCTCAGATTTTGATGAAACTTGGCACAAATTTAGAATAATTTTTTTCTAAAAGAAATTCGAGAATCTTAGCCCGCGCTTTGAAGAAACAACCGAGATTTTTAGATCGAAAGTCGGCGAAAATTTGACACTTTGGCGGCAAAGATTGTTTAATATCTCGGCGGCGCTTGCAAAACGCGAGCTAAGACTTTCAAGAATTAATACTTATTTCATGACCGACCTGTGTGCAAAATTTAAAGAAAATCGGAGCGTCGCACTTGGAGTACCTCCCTTGTTAGATTTTTCGCTTGATTTTTAAAATACGTTTCCATGTATTCAAAAAAAAACAATAAAAAAGTCCTTGTAGTTTGAACTAAATTTTCTGCATAGGCCTGGCACACGGTACCAGCTTTCAAGCGAAAGTTAGTTTATTTTCTGGATGATTCTTATCTCACTTTATGCCAAATTTTTAAAAAAGTTGGAGCGCGGTATTTTGGATGATTTTAGCATTAATTTTTATATAGGTTCTTCTATTAAAATCATTGTTTGTTTTCAGAAAAATCGCCTCTCGCATGGCGGACCTCCATAAAATCCCAATCGCGGACAACGAAAAGGCGTCTCCCTCATTCTTCCACACAAAATTCCATCAATTCATCAACAACATCCCTCCAGTTTGGCCAAATCCCGAGAAGAATCAAAAGTTCCAGCATCTCTTCGCTGAAATCAACTTCGAACGAGATTTCCAACGAGTTGCAGCGGCCATTGAGCGTGCCGCAAACAAAGAAATCGTACTGTGTCACAATGATTTGTTGATCTACAATGTTTTGTACGATGAGAAATCGGATTCTGTGAATTTTATTGATTACGAATATACTGGCGCCAATTATCAGTTGTTCGATATTGCCAATCATTTCAATGAATATGCCGGTGTGGAGAATATTAATTACGATTTGTGTCCCACGGATGAACAGAAATACAATTTTGTGCAGCATTACTTGCAGAGCTATTTGGGAAGAGAGGTGGATGGAGCGGAGATTGAGAAAGTCTTGGCTGATATCCCGACGTTCGAGGCGGTAAGGAAGGGTAAAATACGCTCTTTGGTGATTAACATGTTTTATAAAATAGGGAATTCCAAGAAAAGGGTTTAATTTGTAAAAATAAATTCATTAGAATTATTTCATTTTCCAAGTCTGTCGGGAAAATAATAAGCAAAATTTCGCATCCGCTGAGAAAATGAATTTTGTCCCAGAAAAATGAAATTGATTTCCACTGCTACGACGAGATTGGCGCAACAAAATTTTGCTCATTATTTTCTCGACAGACTGATATAATGAAACCATTCTAATATGACCAATATACAAATTTTATGTTCTCATTACGGTTGGTTATACAAGAGTTTGACTGTTTGCCACATTAAATTCAGGGCTCTCACTGTGACAAGGGCAAAGAAAAAAACCATTTTTTATTTGCGGATATTTATCATCGAAATCCAAACCTAATTGTTCATTGAAAAGCCCTGTTAACTTTAGCTAATCAAGCAGCATAAGCTTAGAATAGATTATGATATATGGTAAATCCGTATGAGTTTGGGTCAAGATAGAGGGCGTCCGTTTAGAAATTTTCTTTCGTTTCAGGCCTTGTTCAAAAGCCTAGCACATCTTTTTCAACCCATGAAGTGAAGTTTTCTTATGAGATGTTCCACATTTTATTAATATAGATGGAACCCTGATCCCCGTATTTTACCATTCGCCTTTTTCACAAAACCTCTATTTTAACTTTCAGGCCTCCCATCTTCTCTGGTCGGTCTGGGCGTTGGTTCAAGCCCAAGATTCCGAGATCGATTTTGACTACATTCAATACGCTTCGAAGCGATACGAGCAGTACTTCAAAATCATCACTTCCGTCGACTTCTCTGTTGTAATCTGAGTTCCCTTCCTCTACCATTACCAGTTCAATATGACAATTCTATTCACCGCCTTTACTTGTAAAATACCCTTCCATTCCTTCATGTATTCGATATCTAAATTTATTCCGACATGGTTATATAATCCGTCGTCTTCCATGTATTCCAAACTTTCAAATACGCGATAATCTATTCACATATCAGCACTTTGTGACCGCTTATTTCCGTAGAGTAGAATAAATAATTTGTTCTCCCGTAATTTTGATGCGAATTTGGCGATGTTAAAACTGCAATTTGGCCAAGAGGTCGTCCAGACTTTGGGTCCGGGTATTTAGTGAGCGTTCCAAACCATGGACAATCACTTGATTGGAGTCGGTGATTAGAGCCTAAAAAAAGGGTTTCAATTTTAAAATACGCCGTATATAGATGAGGGAACCCTTCATTGAGCAGACTTCATCAATTGGCTATGATTAGGCTAATATTTATATCTAATTTTTCAAAATTTTTTGACTAGCTATATAGTCGATGAGATGGCATGGGAGAAAAATTTTTTCTTCGTTTGGTTAGCCAAATTGTTAGAATGGCTGTCAAAGGTGTTTTTCTACCGCCACTATTATTTACAAAGGCATTCTTACAAGTTGGCTACCCAATCGAACTTTTTGGCTCGCTAATCCAGGTTTCTAGCAAGCAATTTATGTAATAATAGTTCGGCTGTCAGTCCTACCCTTTGACAGCCATTTCAACCTTTCGGCTAGATATTTTTAAGGCTTCATAACCATTATGATGCTTTGCCTAGCTAGCCAAACACTTTTGCAACATTAAATACAAATATTGGACCAACACCCGACTTGACCAAAAAAATTTTTTGCCCCAAATGAAAGCTTTTTTAACACTAGGCTTGCAGGAACTGTAAAGACTTGAAATGTTTTGCTTACCATAAAAGAAAATCCCCGGTCATCAAGCCACGTGTCAAAGTCGATAATCTTATGATTATGTTCCGAATTCAAAGAGTGGATGCTCTCTGGGTTATTTGGCTTGTCCAACTTCCACTGGGCCATTTGGTTGTTGTTGTAGAGGGAATGGAGAAGAATGGGGTTTCTAAAAAAGTTTTTTTTCTTTGTCTGTAATTTTTTTTAAATGACCATGTATACATGGTATTGTAAATGAGATAAATATACCTACGTCTTGGACCACCTAATAGTGTTAACGTTGGTAAGTTTGTTAGAGGCAAGAAAAATCAACGGTTCCACGCTTGATGCTTCATAAATAGCAACCGCGTTAAGCCCCGTTGCAATCTGAAATCATCAAAAATTTTTTTTTGAGAAGCTTGCATGTCTTACCGCAAAGATCTTTGGGCTGAACGGTGAAAACGCCACCGCTGACACAGAGCTGCCCACGTCTAAAAATTTATATAATTTTGATGATTTTTTCTCAACCCACCTCCACTTCCATAACTTCTAATAATAGAAGATTCTTTGTTATTGTCGATTATGTTATCGCTTCCTCGGCTAATTCTTACAGCTCCATTTGAAGTCCCAATCAAGAACTGGTGCCCCTGTTTGAACGAGGCATCGGCGCTCAAGCAGTCAACAGACGGCCCACAGCATGTTGCAGAAGACAATTTTATTAATCGCAATCTAGCTCCAACCCGTAGTCCTAGGTCCGTCTCGAAATTTAATGACGGAGCAACGGCTGAGAGGCCATAAATAGTTACAACTCCGCGTGAGTCAAAGGTTACGAATTGCTGTTGGACTCTGAAAAAAGAAGAAACTTTTTTATACATCTTTGAGATGGTGATCAAACCAACGTATTTTACCTATATATGTCAATACCTTATGACCTCAGCAGTATCTACAGTGGAACCTCCCTACAACAAACGCTCGTACTATTCATAAAACCTGTCTATAAGGAAGTATTTTTCATGTCCGTCTGTCGGGAAAATAATGAGCACCCTGCCGCTCGAAAGTCGCTTCTCCGCCGGGAAAATCAATTGCGTCGCAGTAAAATTAAATTGCTTTTCGCTTCAGCGACGCAATCGGCGTAGCGAGATCGTGCTCACTGTTTTCCCGACAGATTGATAGTGGTCCAATTAATCAATTTTACAATGAGACAAAGCCATATACCATAAGTAAATATTATATACGTATATATATAACCTAAAGTAATTCTGTGGTTGCTTATGATTTTCCGTACACAGACTCGACTCTACTCTTCATAATAAGACTTACAATTTCACTTCGCTTTCAACAGCAGCCACCTTGATGATAGGGCAATCACATTTGTCGGTGAATTTTCTTTTCATTTTCTCTTCCAAGACACTGAACGAAGTGTCGTACGAAGGAAGTCTGACGATATATGGAACTTTTGTCTCTGCCCACGCAACATTCTGATCAAACGTGGATTCTGACTCTGATAGATCCCAGATAACACAACTACCGTCAACAATTCCAGCGAATAAAGCTGTCCGACCATCAAAGGAATAACAAAGAGAAGTCACTTGGTTTGGCGTTGCAAATATTCTAAAACAAGGTTTAAATGTGTAAAATACGCCATGCATTTTTTTTGAATTAACAAAAGATATGCCTTACGATTTTGGCCTGACTTGTTCGTCCATATTGTACTCGGCGATCAGGCTATGGCCTTGAAGAAATTGGTGGGCTTCGCTCGATTTAGTGATGTAAAATGCTATTGCAAGACGGTTCTTGTTTGTGGGATGGACGCAAATGCATGTGTTGTGACATTCTGAATACACGCGTCAAAATAAAACAACCGATTAGAGTTTTGATTGGCTAGGAATTCGCAAGACGCGTCCGTATCAGTCTGCCGGGAAAATAATGTGGATTTGTCGCAGCAAAATGTCTCGTCTCCTTGCGTTTATCAAATCTCCAGCTACCGTCGAAAAAACCTTATGGGAGGTTCCAAACCGCGGCGGATCCACATTATTTTCCCAACAAGACTGATAGCTTCACAAAAATATACACTTGCCCTTTTTGGGGACAGTAAAATTATTTAGTTATTATACTATTCGTAGACTCGAGGGACTTTTGAGAAATGTTTTTTTCAGCGTCTTACAGAAAAAAGAAAACAGCCGTTCTGAAAGCCTCAATCAAAAAGCCAAAGTTCTCGCTGACCCCTCAACTCACCGCTAGCCACCACCGAAGGCAACATGAACTCCATGAATCCAGTGCTGAATTCAAACCTTGATTTCATTGGCATATGAAATAGGGCACTTGTAGACGCTTGATTTTGCGACAGCAAAGAGATCATTGTCTATAAATTAATAACCTTACATTTTCAATAAGTACTCTTACTCTTCCGGCGATATCCAAGAACTTGTTCATTTGTGAAAGATTCGGGGCGGCTTTTCTGGTCGATTTCCCAAGCTGATTGGGACGGCTCATCGTTGACGTTTTTCTTGTTGGATTATGAGAAGCCGGTGTCGGTTCTACTCGTAGATGAAAGGTCTCTGGGTGTTGTGTCTCTTGGTTAGCCACTTCTGGGTGATCAGTTTGCGTTTCATTTTCGAAATTGTCTTCGCCGGTTTGAGTGTACCTCTGAAACAGATGTAATATAAGTCTTCAATAAAATTCTCATCCAACATTTGACCTTGGGACATAAAAGAAATACCTTACCTGAGCTTTAACCCCATCTTCAACGATTTTATTGTACAATTCAGACCTTCGATTTGGAGGAAAATCGACGCTAATCACTTTCTCCAAACCCAAATTTCCTTCTGATCGGAGCTTTTTATACACTTCAGCTGACTTCATGAGGCTCTCAGAGTCGATAGTTCCACTCGATCCAATTTGGAAAGTTCTGCTTGCTGACGTTGTTGGACGAGCAATTGAAGAGCCTAAAACGAGTATTTCATATCGTTAAATAGTGCGTTATACAATAAATAAAATAAAACTCACTCTGTCCAACCGAAGTAACGGGCCTTCCTTTGCCATTCCCATTGATTTCCACCGTCCTTGGCTTTTCCAGCCTCTTCAGCAACAACGAATTTCCAGCGTCATTGCTCACCTCCGGAACTAAACTTGATGATGTTGATGCCCTTGGGGAATCGCGAACTGACTCCTCTTCAAATTTCCCGTCATCATCATCATCGTCGGACATTTCCTCAAAATCGTCTTCGTATTCCTCAAAGTCATCGGGATACTCGTCCTCAGCTTCGTCGATTCGATCTATCGTTCGTTGAGTCGAGATGTCGTCCAGGGTTTCTTCTTCAGCATCTTCTTCGAGAATGGTCTGGCTGCTAAGGTCACTTGGTGGTGGTTTTCGCTGAGGTGAGGACTTGGCATAGCCTGAAAAATAGGGAAAGCTACTGACCTTTTGTATAACAAAAGGTCATCAAATAAAGAAGAAACATTTTGGACGGCAAATTCAATTGTTTTCAGTGAAAATTCACTTCTACAGTAAAAATGCAGTGAGAGACCTGATCCATTGGCGAAAAACGTATAGTTTTGCACAGGGAAGCGTCAAAAATGTGGCAAAATACCTCACACGATAATAAAAAACCCTGTTTTGAAATGCGCGCTCACAAAAAAAGATCGGGTGCGCTTTTGAAATCGGAGTGTTTTCACTTGGAGAGAGACGTATTTTGTTGCATTTTTGATACTTCCCGGATCCAAAATGGTACGTTATTTGCCACTGGATCCGGTCCATACTAAAACCTTCACAATTTATTTGCTACAGTTTCTGGTGTACCTATAGCAATCGAAATCTCGATTTAAGTCGAATTTCTTCAAAACCTAAGCGTCTTGTACCATATAACTTCCTTCAGACTGACAAAAACTCACCATTATTCATTATACTTGAGCTTTTTCCATTTGCAACACCACTACCTGGCCTTGCGTTACTCCTTTCCGCGCTTCTCCTCTCCCTTGTTCCATTACTTTCTCTTGAGCTTGACTTTGTCCCTGGCCTTTCAGTCTTCGAACTAGAGCCACTAGTGCCATTAGCAAACGGTTTGTTTGTCGACTTTGGTGAACTGCTACTTGACGTCTTACTGCTAGTTGTTTTACTTGAACTTGAAACTTTTGCCGTTCCATTGCTCAACTTTGAACTCGATTTTTCCTTTTTATCACCATTTTCTCGCTTTTCTTTCGATGAACTTCGACTTTTTGAAGTCGATGAAGATGATGATTTGCTCTTACTCTCTCTAAGAATCGAAAAATAATCAAAATTCAATTCAAATTCACTCACTTTTTTCCATTCTCCCTCTCTTTTCGACTCGAACTAGACGAACTGCTCGTTTTGGTGGGCAATTTTGACGATCTCGAGCTCTTGGACGACATTGCCAAACCTCACATGACTTACAAAAACATAATAAAAAGTAACAACTACTCAAGACATGGAGGAAGCAAATTCCCACCGAACCAAAAATTATTCCGCAAAAACTCGCGCTTTCTCCAAGCGTTTTCGTTGCTTGGTAACTATTTTATTTTCTAGGAGTAGGTCTTCTTACCACGCGGTTTTTACAAATATTTAGGAAAATGCTGACGAATTTGGGCTTCATTAGACGTCTTACATTTATGTATTATTTATTTTGTAATACAGGAAATTTAATATGTAATGTTTGGAGATTTTTTACTTTTTTTTGGAGTTTTGGTGAACAGTTTCGGAAAATCTTGAAGGAAAAAACTTTAAGCGCGAATTTAGTGCAAAAATTGAGATTCACAATCAGTAACAGTCGCGTCTATTTAGCAAAAAAAATTTTTTGTGGCGCAAAAATTTACCTTGGCTCCCCCTTCCCTCTCATCAATTTGTACGATGTCTGTATGGGGGAGGGCACGGCAACCCAGGGAGCCTCCTTCCTCGCCTCGGCGCTTCGCATACCCAGTATCGGTCAAATTCACACGAAATGTCGCAACAGAATTTTTCGTGTGGTTTTCCGACTTTTTCTCGGAATTATTTTATTTCAGTTGTGAATTTTGACACTTCGTTTGGGCGAAATTCAAAAGTGGGCGGGAGACATTTTTGTTCTATTTTGGGTTGCCGTGGAGGATTACCTCCTTTTTACTGCAAATTTCTCGTTGCGCTTTTGCACCGGGAATCCGAAATATCACGAAAATTTGCCGCGAAAAATCCACATTATTTTCCCGACAAACTGATATTTCGGTAGCATTGTTCATGACCTACGAAGTTGTGTTTGTCATTACAAAAGCTTTCAATAAAAATTACTCTTCCAAACAAAAATCGTGACAATTTATTACTCAAACATCCCTCAAATCTCTCAGATATCTCCACCAATCATCCTTTGTCCTCACTTGAACAAATGAATAAGATCCATACGGTTCAACCCTGTCATTCCAATCCAGCACTTCAACGGGTCGTACATGGCTGGTGCAGTGACAAAAAAAACTTGGTTGTTTCTTGAGCTCAAGGCATTTTCTAAACAAATCCAGGGCTGTTTCACACGGAGAGATTCGGATTTGAAACCAAAAAGAAGTTCCATCGAAGAAGACAAATTCAATGTTGTAACGAACATAAGGCTGGAAATCAAGAGTGAAATTATTATATTATAGAATTTGGATTTAATGGAGCGATGTTTGAAGGGTCATTTTAGGTTCCGCCACAAAACCATTTTATCAAAAAAAAGGTAGAAAAAACCTTTAAAATAAAATTTGAGTCCTAAAAATACGATACCTTACCTTATCATTACTTTTTAACTCCATTGGCATCCTGATTTTGTATTTTCTTCCCTTCTTTGGATGCTCTTTTCTACTGACGTGACCATCCGTATCTTTGTCCAAGATTTGGCACTGATGGAATAGTGGGAAGGTGTTGGAAGTCGGAGATGTTTGTAAGGTCTGATACAACGACTGATTGAATGGCTTATTGCAAGAGAGGTCAAAAATGGAGGTTTTGGTAGCTGGAAAATTTTAAAAAATCGATACCAGCTAACACATTACATAACGTTGTAGAAATTGCCTTAGGTTTTATTTTTTACTCACCATTTCCAAAGACAAACTCAAAATGACATTTGCAACTCTCACCGCCCTCATCTTTCCATTCATTCAATTCCATTTTGCCCACCATCTCTTTTGGCACAGCTGAGAAGCGAAATGGTCTTCCAGAATCGCCAATCTTCTTGGGGTTGCTCTTCTTTCCCTTTGTTATCCATTTACTTTGATCCAGACCGAGTCGAAGGCAAGCCTGAGCTAGCACAAATTCTTCGAGCTCAGTCTTTGACAGCGAACTTGTTGGCTGGTATAAGGCGATGGTGAAAGGAAGTCCAGGAAGATTTGGTTGTAAATGGAAGGAAATTGTGGTGTAGAATGAGTATTTCTCAAGAGGGACTTTGGAATTGAGCTCGGATATTGTGTTGAGCTGGAAAATGGGAATTAAAAAATATAGTGTTCAAAACGTCTTATCTATGCCAAAAAATGTCATCATTTTTTAAATAGGAAGTTCCTGCAGGATTTTTAGCATTTTTTTGCCTTGGATTTTTCGTGTTTTCTCCAAAATATAGGATAAAAGATTGAGGTATTCCGTAGAGGATCCGACCTTAATTTTGCTTTATTTTTGACAAATTTTGACGCTTCAATCAACTTTCACCCGTTAATTTATAATTACTAATCTACCATCCCCAATTTTCTATATTTTTCATCCGCAAAGTTGCAAGAAATCATCAAAATCAAAAAATCTCGTTTCGCAAAAAATTTCAGCCCAGAGATTACAAACAAAATCAATTGAGTTTTCATCCGCTTACCTTTAGAATTTCGGTAAATTTCAGCTTTTTTCTGTCATCACCCTTCCCTCCAGCTACCCCATTTTTATCCACGACATGATATTTCCTGCTGCTCTTCACAAACCCCTCATAAAACATGTTCAATTCAGTGGCGGCGGAGAGAAACGGGACGATCAACTGTTCCTTGTTAGCTTCATGGAGAGAGTAATGAAGACTGAAGTCGTCCTCATAATTGAGACTGGTCTTGGCATCAGATTTCGTTGAGATTTTCTTCGATCCATCAGGGATTTTGATTACTTTCTTTCGTGAAATTTGATGGCACAACCAGTCCATGGAAGATGAAATTGAAACATGAAAAGTTTTGAGCAACTGAAGATCTCAAATTATTGATTTTTTGTCTTCGTTGTGAGATGCATGGCCAATTTCATAACCATTTAAAAAAAAGTAGTTCTGGTGCTTAACATGTTTGGAATCACACAGGGAAACTTCTACATAAAAATCTTTCATTTAACGAAAGTTTTCGGGAAAAAGGGCCCGTTTTTAAGCCAACTTTGGCGAGCTGTAAGAAGCCTAATTCTCATAATGAGGCAAAATCAATATCAGTGTATAAAAACCGACCGGATCTCTATCAGAAAAAGTGAATTCCAGCCCATAGCATAAAACGGTAAAGACAGCGCAACGGTCCGTGTCTCATTGTCAGGCGCCTTGGTTGTAAGCACTTATAATGGCAGAACAAGTGTCGTAGACGATTATTTTGTCTGAAACTTTAAAGATAGCTTCTTGGACGTATTACACGTGTCCACAATCGCCCACTTTGTTCTCGTATTGTTACGGCACGCAGGGCAAGCAAACATATTAGTCCAGATTTTATTGGCGCACCCTGTACAATATTTTCAATATCCTAGGTTTATTTTAATGGGAATTCTATCTTCTAAGCAAAGGGGTGGCTTGAATCCGTGATCGGGGCTGCAACGGATTCGGTCTTATCCACCGGATAAATATTTTCACGAGTCTTCTTGCCCATCTTTCCATTCGAGGCTTTCTGAAAAAGAAATTTGTGGTATTTTATATACTGACAGGGGAAGTACTCCAAGTGTGACGCTCAGATTTTGATGAAACTTGGCATAAATTTAGAATAATTTTTTCTAAGGTATATGCGGGAATCCTAGCTCGCGCTTTGCAGAAACAACCGAGATTTTTAGATCGAAAGTCGGCGAAAATTTGGGACTTTTTGCCGAATTTCGGCACGAAAAGTTTCATGCCTATTTCAACCGTAAAGAATAATGTTTCTACAAAAAATCAAATTTTTCCGCACGAAACTGCCAAAGTTATGGCCAAAAAGCGGTGTTCTCTCTGACCGCTCTCCACGTTGAGCGTGCTCTCTCGGCGGGAAAAATCGTTCAATATCTCGGCGGCGCCCGCAAAGCGCGAGCTAAAACTTTCAGGAATTGATATTTAGTCCATACCCGATGTGTGTGCAAAATTTAAAGAAAATCTGAGCGTCACACTTGAAGTACTTCCCCTGTGAATCAGAAAAAAAACGTTTTCACTGTGCAAAGAATTTATATCCCACTGATTTTTTGGGAGAAAAAATGAAGCACCCTTTCCTACCTTTTCTTTGCTTTCCTTAGTTTTTCCACCTTGATTGATGCTAAAATAATCCTCGTTCGAAACCATGGGAATCTGAAAAGACTTACATTTTAATGACATTGAAAAAATATTCTAATTCTAATTCCACCGTGCCGAAATGTTTTTCACGCACGGCGATCAAAAAGATCAAAAAGTGCGGTCAAAAATATCAATTTCCTCCCTTACCTGGAACGATTTCTGAGTCTTGGTGGTAGAATGAGTATCCGCATTCTAAAAAGACTTGCATTTTTATCAAACCTCAAAAAAATGTTTTAATTCATGCCGCACAGTGCAAAAAAATCAAAAACTTTTCCTAATTGCACAGTGCGGTCAAAAAATCTTTCCACTTTCTGCCTTACTTTTATCGACTTCTGAGTGTTAACTGTAGAACGAGTTTCAGTCTTCGTGTCCGCAGCGGTCTCCGTAGTCTCCTTCTTTTTGGTAGCACGAGTCTTCTTTTTCGTCTTTTTTGAGGCCTTGGGCTTCTTCTGACCCTTCATCTTTCTCTAGAAAGACCAGTGCGATCACGGGGCCTAGACAAATTTCTTTACCTTCCGCTTCCTTCTTCTGTAAATCAACCAAATTGCAATGGACATGATGACAAGAACGACGACAAATACTCCGACAGCGGAACCAAAAATAATGTAGGCGGCCGATTCGTCCAATCCAGCGCTAAAAGTAGACGACCGCATTTTGAGGGGAAGAATCAGAGGGGAAGTACCCCAAGTCCGACGCTCAGATTTTGATGAAACTTGGCACAAATTTAGAATAATTTTTTACAAGATGTATGCGAGAATTCTAGTTCGCGCTTTGCAGAAACAACCGGGATTTTGGAAAAAGTTCCTTATTTTGGCCACAACAAAGGTACCCCGCGAACTGCGCCCAAGCTTGGGCACTAAAGTTAGGAAAAAACGCTTTGACCTAGCTGGCACTGAATTACTACAATAATAGCTCTATAGTTTTAAGGGTACCTACGAAGGCTGTGACGACTCATTTAGTTCCATACGGAGGCAATAAGTTTAGTTCCGGACATGTTTCATCGTATAAAGTGTAAAATCACAGGCTGCAGCCGTTTTTGAATGGTAAGATGGTACGTAAAAACGAAGGTACCTCACTAACTAAATCCACTGTCCGGGCATTGACAACGATGAATTGAGCGTGCACGCTAAATTTTTGCTAATTCCGACCAGTTTCCGCAAAGTTATAAGTTGTGGCCAAAATAAGGAACTTTTACCGGGATTTTTAGATCAAAAGTCGGCCAAAATTTAGGACTTTTTGTCACTACCAAGAACCACAATATTTTTGGGTTACGATAACAAACCTACACCTTAGTTGGTGACAATTTTGTTGTACTTGTAGGGGCTTCGTCCATAGCGGCAGTGGTATTCACGATGATGGTCTGAAAAAAACTTACAGCAAAAATTTGAACTTTTCTCTTTTACTGCACTGTGCAGTCAGAAAAACCTTTATCGCACAGAAAAAAGTTTCCATAAAATTTGCACAGTGCAAAAAATGGAAAAATGAGTTCGCACAATGCAGTGAAAAAACCGCGCTTTTCGGGTCAACACAAATAAGTGATGAGCTATTCTAGTGCCCGACCAATCTTGTTATTTTGAAAAAGGTTTCTTATTCTGGCCACAACAAAGGTACTCTGCGAACTGCGCCCAAGCTTGGGAACTAAAGTTCGGAAAAAAGGCTTTGACCTAACTGGTACTGAATTACATGTTTAGTTCCGGACACGTTTCATCGTATAAAGTGTAAAATCGCAGGCTGCAGCCGTTTTTGAAGGGTAAGGTGGTACGTAAAAAAGAAGGTACCTCACTAACTAAATCCGCTGTCCGGGCATTGACAACGATGAATTGAGCGTGCACGCTAAATTTGGGCTAGTTCTGACCAGTTTCCGCAAAGTTATAAGTTGTGGCCGTATAAGGAGCTTCTACCGTTATTTTTACTAACAAAGTCCTCTCCTAGTCCCCCACGCCCCCGACGCAATCTTCGTTGATCCGAACTGTCGCCGACCCGGAAAGTTGTAGCGCCGAAAAGACAAACAAATCCGTCCATGTCTCCCACCAACGTTTTAGTTTTACCCACATGTTATCCCTTTTTGGATTTACCGAATTTGTAGTAGGCGCCGAAAAAAATTGAATCTTCGAAAAGGCATGTTTCCATTGGTCTTCATAGACAGTGGGGTCGCATCTCCTTGTCAGATATGCGAATATCGTCTAAAATATATAATTTTGGGAATATCATTTGAGTGAGAGACTTACCATACTGTAAATTGTATCCAATTTTCTTCGAGTGTAAATCCCCGAGTCGCGGTTGCAGTGGAATCTCTCGAACTTCTAAAACCGGACTTTTTGGAAAAAATCTCTATGTTTTTGGTCAACTTTGACAGAGTGGAAACATTTTCTAACCTTGACAGAAGTGGGGTTTCAATAATTAAAAAAAAATCCATTTTTTCAAGCAAGGTTGGCTACGTAAGTTAAAACCGAAAGGTATTCTTTCTCTCTCCGACCTTGCCACGTCAATCCAGGGCATTTCCTGAACCGTTTCGAAACTTCGTATCGTTTTCATTGATTTAAAAGAGAGACGAAATGTCGCGAAATTATCGGCACTTTTTCTCGCCCGAAATAATTGTTTTCTCTCGAAAAGGAAGAAGAAAGATAAGAAAATGCTTTTATCGGATAGTGACATTTCGTTTTGAACGAATCACCAAAAAAGAAGCGGGAAATTTTTTCTTCTACAGGGTGTTCAGAGAATTATGGAAAAAACTAATCATTAATAACTTTGCGCTCGGTGGTCCAATCCGAAAATTTTTTTTTGAATTTTACAGAAAAACTATGGAGTTTTTAGAATCTAAAAAAAAATTTTTCTTTTATCGGCGGAGACTTCCGTAATCCGCGTTGAATTCGGCGGAGTGTTTTTTTCACAAAATAGGACTGTAAATCGTTGTATGTGTAAAGAAAATGGGCGGAAAAGGATTTAGAAGATACAATGTGACATTTCTTTCAAATTTCTGTGCTTCGGCGGAGACATTTTTTAACCTCGGCGGACGATTTTTCTTCTACTTCGGATAGTCAAAATTGGCTAAAACCAAAGCGTATGGTATCCCAAGTGGCATGGCGCCTAAAAACGACTTATTACGTCTTCAGCCGGCTGGCAGATGAAAAAACGTCAATTCGGCGGAGAAATAGGCGAAAAAAAGATGAACGTATTTAAGAACTTACATATGCAAATTCATCCGCCGAGCATCCGCCAATAAGAAGAATCATATTTTTGGTTGATCAGGGCCGTATAAGACCTACAACTTTAGTTTTCTCATCATAATTTCTTAAATGGGTTAATTTTTTTCTCCGCCGATTTCTCCGCCGAATTACCTTTTTTTCATCTGCCAGCCGGCTGAAGACGTATTAAATCGTTTTTAAGCTCCATGCCACCAGGGATACCATACTCTTTGGTTTTAGCCAATTTTGACTATCCGGGGTCGCAGAAAAATCGTCCGCCGAGGTTAAAAATGTCTCCGCCGAAGCACAGAAATTTGAAAGAAATGTCACATTGTATCTTCTAAATCCTCTTCCGCCCATTTTCTTTACACATACAACGATTTACAGCCTTGTTTTGTGAAAAAACACTCCGCCGAATTCAACGCGGATTACGGAAGTCTCCGCCGATAAAAGAAAAAAAAATTTTTTAGATTCTAAAAACTCCAAGGTTTTTCTGTAAAATGCAAAAAAAATTTTTCGGATTGGACCACCGAGCGCAAAGTTATTAATGAATAGTTTTTTCCATAATTCTCTGAACACCCTGTATTTTGGATTGACGTGCTTCCCCATTTGGAAGAAAAATGAAAGGTCAGTTCGAGGGCATCCGTGAACGTAGACCGGTAACACCCAAAAAGCGAATAAAAACTCACCAAGATTTTAAAAGTTTTTTTGCAAAACTGCTTACCGATTCGTTAAATTTCAGAAATACAGAGCAAAGGTCTCCCGAAAGCTTATAAAGAAGACCATCCGGCTCAAGAAATATTATATAGTCGGTCATATTCCAGGTCCCTGTCGAAAGACGTGTATAGCCTGGCTCCAAATCACTTCTCCAACGCCAAAAGCTGACATGCTCATCGTCGTTTGGTTTCATTATTGCGTAAACATAGTCTTCCCGAGCAAATCCACGATAACCCAGAGAAAAATCCTCATTAGATTTATTTCCCAAATAGAGCGTTTTAGTCGGATCGTCACTCCAGTAAAACTGATGTCTAAAATTAAAAAAAGATAAACAATGAAACAAGATCACAATAAAAAAAAGTTATTTCCAACATACTGCAAGTTAGTAAAGCCGACTTTGCTCATGTCATAGCTCCAGATACCCTCTGCTTTCTTGTAATCATTCAGGTGCTTCCTGAAGAAAAACCATTAAAACAATTCCACCGAGAAATGAGCTGAGGTGGAAACCAGAGATTGTCACGGCTCCGAGCCAGCCACCCGGGCCGTCCCTAGGCCAGGCCTGGAAAATATTGAAAGCCCGGCCGGGTCGGCCCGTAAAATATCGCGTCCCACGTCAATACAGCGCATTTCCTGAACCGTTTCGAAACTTCGTATCGGCTTCATTGATTTAAAAGAGAGGCGAAATGTCGCGAAATTATCGGCACTTTTTCTCGCCCGAAATAATTGCTTTTTCTTGAAAAGGAAGAAGAAAGATAAGAAAATGCGTTTTATCGGATAGTGACATTTCGTTTTGAACGAATCACCAAAAAGCGGCAGGAAATTTTTTCTTCCACTTTCGATTGACGCGCGTCCTAACTTTTCGGGTCGACGACAGTTCGCGTTAAGACAAAATCGATCGATACGGGGCGTAGGGTGAGCGGACACCCGCAAAAAAGGTTGTAGGAAGTGCCTACGAGGCCTAGCAAAGCGGTTGGATGGTCGGTGGACGCTCGGCGGAGACTTGCAATATGTCCACTCTTCCTTACTTTCGCTAATTTGCTTTATGCTGAGTTCGGCAAAATACGAAGATCCATAACTTTATCTAGCTATTATTGATGCGAGTACACGTAAAATACCTCAAAATAGGTGATAAGCTATCCTAGAACCAGACCAATCTTGTTATCTCTACTAACTAAGCCCTCTCCTAGCCCCCACCATGCATACAACGACGAACCCACGCGATCCATGGTACTGTTGACCTGTCGTCGACCCGCAAAGTCGGGACGCGAAAGTTTGTCGCAAAAGTTTCGGCCTTAAAATTCCGGTATTGAAGTCTGCTTTTCGGAAACTTGGCCGAAACCGATTTTTCATTTCCGTTTTTCAGAATTCGAAACAAATGCATTTTGGACCTAAAGCTTGTGACTCAGCCCCCACTTACCTCGTAATGACCTTAATTTGATCCACAAAGTCAATCTCGTACTCAACGGCGTAAAGCTCTTTCTCTTCCGGATCAACCTCCAAAGTCCAAATCTTTGCCCCCACGGCTGTCTCCGGCAGATATCGCGACAAATTGCACTTTCGGTACAGCTCCTGGAACACTTGAGGCACTTCGTTCGGATCGGGCGATTCCAATGTGCGTGCTAAAATTCCGGGAAGGAGGAGGATTAGCCACATCCGACCGGTCGCTGACATAGTTGGCGGAAGAACTGGGCCCAATTTCCGAATCGCGGTTTTGGTCGATAATTCCACTTTCAAATTTTCTTAAATTTTTTGATATTGAAACTAATTTTTTAAACTTTCTCTCAAATTCTTCTCATCGAGCGGTCGTTCTTCAAGTGCAGATTCTTCTCGTCATCTTCACGAAGCTATCGGCGTTGTCGCCATGCCCTGGTGATGCGTGACATCCGGCCACCTAGATTGATTCGGGAAAAAGTTCCTTATTCTGGCCACAAAAAACGCACTCTGCGAGCTGCGCCCAAGCTTGTGATGTAAAGTTAGGAAAAAGGTTTCGACCCAGCTTGTTCTGGCTTATTATGCCATCTACATGATTTTTAGGTTGCCTCGAAAGACTATAACGGCTTATTTGGTCCCAATACTGAAGCAATAAGTTCAATCCGGGCCGGATTTCATCATCGTATAAAACGACATCGCAGTCTGCAGCCGTTTTTTAAAAGATGAGTACCTAAGAGTTTTCTAAAGAAAATAACTGGTCGCAATGAAGTGAACATGTCGAAAATGTTGTTAACCAATTCAATCAATATAAAATTTTTGTTTTTGATTTTGTTCGATTTCTTTGCGTTTTCTTACAATAAGTTTATTCTTCGGGTTAACCCCAGTTTCCGGCTCAGAAAAATACGACAATGATGTCAAAATACGAAACGGAAAAGAGTTTCGGCATTAGATTTCATTTGTTTCGATTTCGGCCAAGTGTTTCGTGACTCGAGGCGCCAAATTTCTCGGATGTTTAGCCTCGTCGTATAGTCGTTTTTACAAACATAGGATCTATAATATTTCACGCGTGTTTTTTGAAACAGAGTTTTAATTTTTTTTAAAGAGACAAGATAAAAGATTTGGCTCAAAAATTTTGAATTTTTTTCGGATCGACTTTTTTCGACCCAAAAAAGTAAACACGAAGTTTACTGCAAGATTTCGACAAAAAATCGTTAATTACAGCTAAAGATAGAGTAGGTTGTTAGCTTCGTTCTTGTTGAGTCCCGATTTTTCCTCTTTTTTATCGCATTTGTTGTAATCAACTCGCATTTCCGGTGTTCGAAGAACTGGGCCGAGTCATGTTCCATATGACAACATGAGTCGTTTATTTTTAATCCTTTACACACGGAGTGCTGCCAACGTCTTTCGTTGTGAACGGCCGGTCTTTACGGTCAACTTGAACCAAATTTTGATATTTTTGTTTCCTTCCTTGACGTAGTAGTGTACTAAATATATGTACAGGGTGCGGCAAAAAAATGGAAACTTATTTTTATAGCTATATTTTTCCTAGCAATCAAAATTCCGCAAATATAACGGTCATCATCAATAACATAGAGCATTATTTATAACATATTCAACCCGTTTCACCGTGGCTGATTTTGGTGGTGATATAGAGCTCCAAACGTGACTTAAAATTTTGGGCTTTTGGCCGCAGCTTTTTTCGGGGAAATCGGTCCCGTTCTTGGCGCAGCATTTACTTTGCGACTCCAAACTTCTGTGGCGTGTAGTACAGATGTTGGTCTCCAATTGAGAAAAAATTATAGCCCATTGAATCCATACCCGGCGAGCAGGCGCACTTTTCGCAGACGGGGTGAAATCGGGAAAATTGGTTCGATTACTGGTCTTGACTCGCTTTTGCCCTGTGAGCCGGCGCTGAGTCTAGTTGGAACGCCAAATTTAGGCTGCCAAGGTTCTACTGAGCCAACAGAAGCATGAGGAAATTGAGGCTAACGCGGCGCTAGAATTTTGCCCTCTTGATCCACGAAAATCTCGGAATTCTTGCCGCTGGCACGAATTCCGCCTTAGGCGATGACGGCCCGGATTTTGACGGTGTTCGTCGTTAGCCGACGTACAGAAGGCCTCATCGGATTGGATTCTAACGTTCTGTTGGTTGTGCACCCGCCAAACATTGCACCGCGAAGGGAACGCGCTCCCAACGTGGACCTGCGGCCCGACGTCTGAATTTTCGGCATTTTTTCAGGCGTACGGGCTTGATCTTGCCGGTGAGGAGTTAGGCATTTTAGACCTTGCGTGGGGAGATCTTGAGCTAATTTTTAGCTATTTGGCCGACTGGTCGGTCGCTGATGCCGGTCTCACGGGCAATTTTTTCTGGAAATCGACGGATTTCGCTGTCGATGACCTCGCGGCTGGCAGAAGTGTTGGCGGTGCGTTTTCTTAAGCTGAATGGACGCTTAAAACTGTTAACAAGCTCCTTGCATTGTTTGATTACTTTGTACACAACATCCTTTCAATACCCGTCAAATTAACAATTCGATCAGTTTAAAAAACAGATCCAAAATCGAGGTCCCTTGGTTTGACATTCAAAAAAAGAATGTTAATAAACCGATATCGACATGAAATCATAAGGTCTAGGAGAGAAAACTACGTAGAATTTAATGGTATGAAAATAATTTTGCTGCACTTAAAAATTTTTGCGTCAGGACCCAATGAAAAAAGTTTCCATTTTTTTGCCGCACCCTGTATATATGAAGGGGTGGTTTACAGAGGAACAGCAAAGCACAACTCTCGGTCCCTCAAGGTAATTACAGAGAAGGCGGTATTCATTTTCTAGCATGGTATTTAATAGTCCTAGGATGGTGTTACATACAGTGGAACCTTATCGGGACGCAAGGCGTTAGAAAATTTATCTAATGTAGAGGGGTTTTGTTGCAATTGCAAGTTTATAATAATGTTTTAGAAAGGTTTTGTTGTATGAGAGTTAGCTTGACAAAGGCTCCTTGGAAACGTCCCTCTACTTTATACCTAGCTCTCTTAGTTTCATACACTCCATTTTTAGCAATGATTGTTTCTTATCTCGATTATTTATGCACAACGGGAGCTAACATTGCAGCGAGTTTGATGACGAGCCTAAAACAATTTTTGTGAAAAGTGTTGGAAAAACCAGAGGATCGAGCCTCAAGCATTTTTTTCTGTATGTGGGTCTCAAATTTTTTTGATAAATACAACGCCAATTTAGAACATTATATGTATTATATATATCTAAACGTATTGTATACTACAGTAAGTTTCTTCAACTTTCGTTGCTTCAGGCTGTTGGATGCAAATCATATTTGCTATGCTATTTCTTTGTCGTCAACTCTTCAATCTTCGCCGTCACACTTTCTATTTTTTGTCGGCGCCATTCAGACTTTTCCAGCATTAATATACGAGTTTGTTTGGAACAATAACCGATAAACAAAAAGGAGAACGGCTTTCCGATTCTTTCACAGCCATTAGAAATTTAAATATCACTTTGCCGTGGGGGTGGCAAGAAAGTTCGAAGACGTCCAAAACGTTGTCTTTGCCGTAAGCAATATTTTTATCGCATTTCGAAAAGTAATCGTCATCTTTTTTCATACGTTTTTATAAAATTTTCCCTTTCTTCGAACGTTTTTTCATGTGTAATATAAGTTCAAAACATTTGCCAAACTGCCGTTTTGGGAGTGATTATATTATATAACAGAACTTGTTAATCGACTGCCTGTTGTGCACGAATGTTTTTATATGTCGAACATATAAGCATCTCCCCGGGGGGCCTGTCCTCAGTTTGTATTTGACGCTTTCAAATTGGAAACTAAAGCTTTCGTCATGGGTGATTTGTGGTTAGTACTTTTGAAACTGTACTTATAAGAGGATGGTATGGTGTGTCCAAAAAAGGGCTTTGCACTGTGTAAAGAGCAACAAATTGCACAATGTAAAGACGAGAAACTTTTGTTTTCTCACCGTGCGTGTAACGAATCACTGTAATGACTTACTGAAACGACCAATAAGATTCATCCATACAAATTTATAGACCGGCGTTTTAGGGCGTAAACAGCAGCCATGACTCTAGCTTTTTATACATAGTATCAGCTAAATTTTGAGCTGCGATCACTCAAAAAACGATTAAAGGCTATGGCCAATTTAGAGGCCATTTTCGTGATAACACATTGCGGTTGTCAACATATGTAATCTTTCAAAGTCTAATGCAAACTCCCGTTTCTGGATGTTCTTATTTCCGCGTACAACGGCTTGATTATTGTGTATTCCGAATTTTAGGCAATTTATTTTATGGGGATGCATGTAATTAGACGCAGGCTGCTTCCAAGTTTACAGTAACGGGAAATGGCGTTTTTATACTCTAAAGGTTTTGTTTTCGGTCGCGTCCAACGCGAAAATTCAGAAAATTTAATTCCTTTTCATTTTTGATCGACGGCCGAACGAGAGACGGCTGCGTCTTTATGGCTGTGTTTTCTACTACGAGGTAGTTTTCTAGGGCCTAAAAGTTATTTGCTAGTCAAATCTAATTGTGCTAATGCTGCTTTTTGATCTGTCATACTGCAATTAATATTTGTGAAAAAGTAATATTGTTATCGGTTTATTAGCCCATGCTTTAGGTCTCCAGAAATTTAATTGTGGACCTGGACAAATCAGTGTCAATTTAAATTTAAAGCGCTTGATTCAACACAGCATCAAGGCTATGACTTTTATGGGGGCTTTTACTTTTCGGCGGGACTCAAAAAATCCGAAAAATTGTGCTGATCAAGAAATTATAAAAATTATAGCTGCTCAATTTTGGGTTTAAGGGTCGAAAGTGCCCAAAAACTGACTTACAAAAGCCGCAGGCATCCGAAACGATAAAAAGCAGTCAATCCCCTTTTCCGGAAGAGAGCGGTGTGGCCGAGTGGCTGGTGCCGTAGTCTGAGAATCTAGAAGGGGGCGCGGCGAGGTTCGATTTCCCTCTTAGGCCGAATCAACTTTTTTTTGAAGTTGAAAATCTCAAAAATAAATTTTTGTGCCAAGACTGAGTTACCACGTCTTAAAAACTCAAGAAACATAATTGTAAGCTAAAATAAATTCGCAAACCTATGGAAAATTAAGCGAAAAGGTGTTTATATACGACTTTAAGTCAACTTGCGATTGATTTTTCACCCCTAAAAGCCTAAACTGAGCAGCTAATTTTTACATAATCTTTCTCAGCACAATTTTTCGGATTTTTTTCA